AGAAAGATTGATAAAAGTAAATATGATTGATAATTGTTTATATGAAATACAGTTTATAATACAAGATTTCGTTATGTAAGTGATTTAAATTTTTTAAAATTAGTTGGTTAAGTGCCTGGCTTGAGACTGATAGGTCCTGGGTTCGAGTCCCGCGAGGCGGGGTCGTGGATCGGCACTACTGAGGAGTTCGAGAATAGGACGAAACGTCCATCCAGTGCTTCCAGGTTTTCCATGGTGGTCTAGCTCCAATTGACTCATGATCTCAACTGTTGAAATTACTACTATCTCCACAAAATCCCTTCTGATATTTTTTATTTGTTTGTTTTAAAAATACATTTTGCTAACACCTTGAGTAAACTAACAATGATTTTATTGAATAAAAGGATATCCGAGAAAGAACCTGTTATAACTTGTGGCCTGAGTGCCTTGTTAATCTATAACGTAACGATACTGCCGATTAGAGAGCAGTGAATTATCGATCGGACCAATAACACGTAAAACCCGTATGATCAGTGTAGAGTACTTATCAGTCCTGCTTCCTGTCTAGCCCAGCTAGTTAAGTCCGGAACATCAATCTAAGCCTCTGCAATATGAATCATTTATTTCAAACATACTCGGTTTATATACCGATCAAACAGACTACATCGTACCAATACAATAGGAAACAACATTTATACAATATTTGGCCAAATATGGCTGTAAATGTGGGAGGTAGTAAATAATAGACAGGGTATAATTCAAGAATGGTAAATCGTATAATAATAGTTCATAGGTCAAAATAAAGCTCATAATAAGAGGGACATGAATATGAATAGTTTAGTTATTTAATAATTATATAATAGAAATGTACGTATAGTATTGATCCATAAATGGATTCCAAAAGTTACCATTCATTATGCTTATCGGGACATAACTGAACTATTCAAAATCATAAAGTAAGAGATAACTGAACAATTGTTTGTACCTTCTTTAACAATTTACAACTTAAGTTTTGTATGTGATTAAATAATATTAAAGTACTATTACAGACATGATAACATTTCATTTCTTACTTAGATATAATGGTCTATATAGTATATTTTAAATTAATTTGCTATACAAAAATAGCATTCTATGGGCAACTTCATTATTCCTAGAGTGTTTTAATTTATTAAGATTGATTTCTTATTTGACTTACCAAGAATTTATCTTTGAAACAAATCGTTAGTGAATTATTTCCAAGGAAACCTTGAAAGAAAACTTCTTTTTTTCTTAAATTTGATTTTTCTTGGCTTAAAATATCCGTTTGAAATAAAGAGTGATTTTATTTTAACCTTCTCGACTTAAACTTTGCATTATATACTTTATATCTTTCCTTTGTTATGACTTACCCTTAACCTGTCTAGTTGACGTTTTAATTTTCATATATAAATATTCTTAACAAGTATATGTGTGATCAGATTGTTCGAAATGTATTGCGCTAATATATCGCATAATTCTGAGAAACTTCGTCTTCTCATTGCATTATCGAACTTTATATCTAGACCGTATATAAAATGAGTCACTAATGAAAACCTACAATAACTAGCCTGATATTTAATCTTAACAATGACATAAAGACCAGTGAATTCTTTTTTCGCAGAATCAGTAAATAAAATAACTTGTAACTTTTTTGAATAGTTTCATGAATCGTTACTTTATGTCCATTTTAGCAAAAGATTACAATTGAATTCTAAGAAAACAATTGATTTAATCTATACAAAACTGAATATAATAAGTTCTTTTTAAGAAATATCTATTTTGTCTAATCTTTAATTTACAATTATTGCCTTGACAACTACCTCATTATTCATTAATTAACATAAAATTGTATCTCACGACATACTGTCTTATGAACTAACATTTTATTTTTATTCACAAGAATAAAACCACTTCATATAGGGAAATCTCATAAAGTTAAAAAATAAACTCCAATGAAATTTCAGATGGTTCAGTAGTTATGCAACAAAAATTCATAAATATTAAATACTGATTAAGAATACCAATTGACTATTCATAATTATAAGAAAGAAAGTATTAGTAAGAAGAATTTATTCATTTCTATTCATTTTACTATCGTCAGAAATACAAAGTAAACGAGGTTTAAAGAGTAGAATTTATGCAGTACAAACGCTGTGTAGACTAAAGTACTTTTTTTTCATTTTTCCTACCATCGCTATCATAAAGTGGTGAGTTTGAAACTTATGTAAAAAAAAATTGTTGCCTAACTCATTCGTGTGAGAGCTGAGTTTTTTTAATGTCTCTTATAAACAATATATAAGTTGAAATGACACCTTCATTTCAAAATTAAGAACAAAATTAATTCCTATTTTATGAGATGTTATCTGATCATTTTCAAAAACCAAATACTTCATGTTTTACATATGAAATAATGAGGTACATTTTTAAACATTATGTATATTATAAGCAAAGATGGATAGTGTCTAGCGGTGGAATCCGGGACGCGCGTTTCATCCTAGTTGAGACGCATCAGCTGGATTTACCTGCAAGTGGATATCAGGAATCAGTAGCTAAGTGGATAACCCGATGGCATTTGGAGTGAACGGTACTGGGTTCGAGTCTCAGAGTGGACATCAACTCAGGTGCAGGTAGATCCAGCTGACAAGTCCAAAATAAAACAAACCGTTAGTCCTAGATCCCACTGCTAGCCACTATCCATCCTTGCTTATAATGTTTGTGACTGAAGACAATATCGAGGTAATCCGGACAGGATACACATATGCCAATAAGAGACTGAATAATTGCAGTCGTAATCATCAATTGGAAGATTCAGGAAAACAATACCAAGTGAATCGTACATGTTGACTGACGTGAATTGAATAAACTGGAGATCAACATTTAAATTCATTGACCGATAGGATGAGAAAGTTTAAACTTCAAACTTTGGTCCATGGTACAACCAAAACAAAGAAGTAAACAATGACAAATTTAAGGTCAATAAGAACCAATCGGCATCGAGGTGTACGGAACAAGCTGTGAAATGCATATGGAGAAATTCGAACACTTCACTTATATCTGAAGTTTGTGCCGATGATGTCGTTCAGAAGAACGATGAAAGCTCCACGACCAAACCATCCAACTCAGAGAACAAGACTATCAAAATGATATAATTATTCTCACCGGGCAATTTATTTCGGCATCGCAGTAATCAATGCAGAATATTAAACTATGTAGTCACCTTCATTTAGAATTAAGCCAAAATACATACACAGTGTGTTATCTTTGTGTAATGAACAGTCATTGACAGTTACAGATCAAGTGTTATCACTCGATATACTTTTTTTCCGTGGAACTAAGGCACTCTAAGGGAAAGTGTCAATCATGTGCTGTTAGGATGAATTCTTTCTTAAAATATTAGAAACCAATCAACTGTAAAGTAACCAGACAGTTTTAAAATACATTTCTGTTCAGAAATCTTTTAAAATAAATCATCTGATGGCCAAACTATAATTTATGGACAAAGTAATCATATTTGAGACAACAGGTCTCAGATTTTAGCGCGGAATTCATCCACGCATTTGGCTAAATACTGATTCGGCATTAAATCTGATGTCAATTTGTGATGAAAACTCGAAATCTAATTTTAAGCCATCAACTGTAAATCATAATTCCAATTCCTCACACTGCTTTAGAGCCCTCATTTAGTTCTAGTTAGTAGGTTGACATTTTCAAGGTCACTATCGTTGCTCAAAGGTCGCCCATAAATTATAGTCTTAATATAGAAGTCAGTGTATCAATTTCCACTGAAACTCTCAACATTGTTCGTTATTCTCCCTATACAGATTGGTGAAGTTATCTTCTATCAGACTATTATTATTAAGCAAAGACGTATTGGTTTCCAAGCAAATTGTAAAATAATTGTTGAAAAATGTTAGTAACATTATCGTACCTTACGTTTACATATTTTTTACCTTAAAATTTTTGATTTTACTGGTAAACCATAACATTTTTTGGCAGTCCTTGTGCATATACGACAGTTCAACAACACGAATATTTATCTCAAACTCAGGATGGTCGACATTTGCGTATCACGGGTTTGGGGTATAAAAGTTTTTCCAATAAAGAAACAGTATATCTGCCAACAACATTTCTAATTAACGGCATAACCTAGTAGAATGAAATTTAAACTATATTTATATTGGAACACTTTTTAAAAGCATAAAATGACGCCAATCATGCAAAAAACTACTGTTTCTTGTCATAATCACTTGACAAAATTGATGCTTTCGCTTCCAAACGATTTAAATGGAATCAGTATATCTTTTCATTTGATTTAGTTTGCTAATATTTTTTTTGAAATAATTAAACGTTAGCTCGTCTAGTTGGCGTCTAACAGTTCAGTGAAACATTTCAATAAGAACAAATTCACTTATTTTTGGTACTTGGTTTCGTCTTACAACAAAGTGTCTTCGTCATACTGAAAAGAAAACAAATTACTATGAACACAAAATGAATATTCTAAAAAGAATTCACAGAAATTTCATTGTATTTAAATGTTAAACGTTTATTATCATTTGGAAAGGGGTTTGGAGAGATTTTAGTAATTTTATAGTTGAACTCATGAGAATAAGAATTATAGAAGCACTGAAGGGCCGTTTCATCCTAGTATGGGACTTAAGAAAATTGTGAATGGTGGATTGGTTGAAAGTAGACATTAACGCCAGTGGATGCCAGCTCAATGGTTTAGAGATTAAGTGTTCGCGTTGCGGGATCGTGGATGCTCACTGCTGAGAAGTCCCATCTTAGGAGAAAAACGGTCATCCAGTGATTTCAGGTTTTCCATGATGGTCTAGCTTTAATTGACTCGTGAACTCAACTGTAAAATGTATTATCATTCATAAATTCATTTGATAAATTCAATGTTTTAATTTGAAAATATTTATTCTTAATTGAATATGAAATTGATTTGGAGTTTTCTACGCTAATATTCAAATACTTTCTTTGTTTTTTTTCATTATTAGAACATGTAATACCATCATCGGAGAAACGTTTAATTAAACAACTAATTGATAATTATGAAAAAGCTGGTAAAATTGGACGCCCAGTAAAAAATACTAAAGATCGTGTAGTTGTTGGTTATGGATTGTCATTATTTCAATTGTTAGATTTAGATGAGAAAAATCAAATATTGACAATAAATGTTTGGGCAAAATATGTAAGTTAAAGAAGAAAAAGTATTTTGTTTTATCTATTTTCAAGGATTTGTTTTCAAACTGTTTTTTTGTTTTAATGATTAACGGTTATCTTGATGTTATCAACAATTATCCTTAAAAAAAGGAGGAAGAGTAGTTTTTTTCTAAATGTCATTATATATAACAGTGAATATCCTGGCAATACACAACAGAAAAAGTATAAAAACTTTGAATTTATTGATTAAACTAACAAATTAAAGACATTTTCACAAGATAAAAAAGTAACTAACTGATTCAATCTGTTATCTTCTACTTAAAGTTTGTGCTGATGATGTTATTCAGAATAACAATAAAAGCTCCATGACCAAATCATTCAGCCCAGAGAATAAAACTTCACCTAAATCATCCACCTGATCTACAAAGTCTTCTATACCATCTTTATGTGTCATAAGTACTAGATAATTTAAAACGGTATACATGAAGATTTTATTTCTTGTAAATAGTATTTTCTATCATTTTTAATCAAATTATAATCAAATTCATAAACTATGGTGCGTGCTACTTATATCGGCCGATATAAGTAGTATGTGTCATTAATCGAAAGTGAAATACCTGGCTTCAGAAGGTTAAGAAGATCGAAGAAAAGAGAACAGTTACAAAGAATGATTAGTGTGGAAGCAAAAGAATTGTGAAATCTGAGACAGTGGACTAATATTTTGCAAATGATGTATTTACTGTATAGTTCTCAGATTTTACTAAAATATTTCGTAATTTTGTGTTCAATCATATTCGATTATTATCGAAAAATGGTTTTGTGGAGATTATGGTAATTTAGTAATTGAATTTTAAAGTCAAATAAAATTAGACCAACATCGAAAACATGGAAGCACTAGACCGTCATTTCATCTTCGATTGTTCCTATTTTATGTTCTCGTTCACTACAACACTAATCTTACATCGTCACTGATAATCCAATTCAATGCTTAAACATGTAACTTATTAATAATAAGTTCACATTAGATTGAGTAAAATTTCTTCCAAGTTATATGTTTTATACAAACTATTCACTGATTAAAGTAAAGATAAGTTAAATCTAACCAAGTTACGTTTATTTGTGTTTCATTGAGATTATGCTGCGATAAATGTTGGACCATTAGTGAAAAACTGGTAGCACTGGATGGCCATTTTATTCTAGTATGGGACTCCACAGTTTTATTTAAGTGTTAATATATACAGTAAAATCATTCTATTTTCAATACTTAATCAGCTGAAATAATATTGAATAATGAACAATTATTTTTTTATTATTAATTTCGCTGAATACTTTCAATATATGCATCAATGATTATTGTATTCAATCAAATAATGATCAATAAAAGTATAAAATAATGAAGCGTAAAAACAACATATTATTGAAGAATACTTTAAGTTGATATAAGACCGTTGAAGAAAAATTTAATCCATTTGATATTCTATATTAAATCGATATGAAGTATATACCTACTTCATTGTACAATAGTCATTTGTTCATAAAATCCCTTTTATGGATACCGCTAACTACTATCATTATTAGTAAAGATTTAAATAATCTTTCTTTTAAATATCATTACAAATTGATAATTTATTGGATATCAACAAAAGAAAACTATGAAATCTTATTAATAATAACATCAGATCTATTAAACTAATTGTTGGCTATTTGAATTCAATAGCATTGTGTAGAATGCAATAGCATTTAAGGTGAAATATATTAGGTTTGAGTTTCAGTGTGTACATCAACAATGAAAAATAAGTACATCCAGATAATTAGTCCTAAATAAGATGATATGAGCACCTTAGATTCCGCTGCTGTCTGCAATTCGTCTAATCTATGAAACCAGTAGATGTATACAATGTATTTTCTTAAACGGTAAAGTAATCATTCCTAAAATATAATAGATTAAGTTTATTTGTGCTTCATTAAGATTATAAATGTGACAAATGTTGGACCATTAGTGAAAAACTGGTAGCACTGGATGGCCATCTCATTCTAGTATGAGACTCCCCAGTAGTGCGCACCCACAACCCTGAACACTAGACTCAAACACAGGACTTTCCGTCTGGCGAGTAAACGCTTAAGAAACGGCCGTCTAGCGCTTCAAAGTTTTCAATGGTGATCTAACATATATCGGTTTATGATCTCAATGAAATTTGTGTGATTAAGAAACGACCGATATACTGTAGTATGTGCTGCTGATATCGACAGATACAAGTGGTACGTATCATCAATTGAAAGTGAAATGCCTGGAGGCAGAAGGTTGACAAGATTGCAGAAAAGAGAACGATTACAAAGAATGATTGGTGGGGAAACGAAAGGACAATGAAGTCTGAGATAATTGATTGACATTTCACAAATGAAGAACTTAGTGTATGGTTTTCAGATTTTCTATTTAACAGAGAATGCGTCCGATACGTGTACCTATAAACAATGTAATTTTTATTAAATGCGTAATTTAAGTGATTCGATTGCACCTTGAATTATTTGAATTAAGCAATTAAGGGAAATCAAGCCACTGTAGTCAACTAAGAATGAATTTATAACAACTTATCAACTATTCAATCGCAATATTAGTAATACATTACCAGAAATAACTTCAATTATAAGACAAATATTATTTTCATTACTATTCTATCCGTCATCAGACATGTGATGAAAAACTATGAAACTCAGTAATGTTTACCTATGTTTATGTTAAAACATCATCTAGTGCTAATTAATGACTGGCGTATGGAAGTAATTTCCCTATTTATAGGAAGTAGCTGGGATCATTGGTGTCTGAACGTGTGCGGAACGAAAGATATATCAACAATGGTGAAGCAATATTTCGAATCAACTGAAGTTACCTAATTAAACTACTGAATCATAACTCAGTAATTATAGAATTAGGCGCTAGTCACGAGGTTTGATTGTCCTGTTCCCGATCATTGACAGGATTTTACATTCATGCTGTCAAAGGTTCTGATTCCGAAATAAAACCCTATCCAAAAACAATATTGCAAGTATTCCTTGACTGACTCATTTGAATTCACTGAATACTCAAAGGACATAAATATAAAGACGAACACAATGTGCTCCTTTGATGTGAACACTTTATTTACAAATGTACCTCTCAGGAAAACTATTGATATTTTGTGTGATTATATCTCTTTAAATAACCTTCCACTGCCATTTCCTGTTAACACTTTAAAGATTTATTATTATTGTGTACAGGTAATGTAAAATTCACTTTTGAAGGTGAGCACCTCCGACAAATAGATGGTGTAGATATGGGTAGTCCTTTAGGACCATTACTGGCTGATGTGTTCCTGGGATATGCTGAATATTTAGTTGAAGACTCAATTTAAAAGATGGGTGTGTACAAACGATATGTTGATGATATAATAATCATAGGGGATAAAGGTGAAGAAATAAACAACTTGTTAAAAGAATTGAATAGAAGTCAGAAGCACATTTCTCTTACATGTGAAGAAGAGAAGAACAACCAACTTCCTTTTCTAGACATCCTGATTAGTAGGAGAGATGATGGTTCCATCCAACGTTCTACATATAGAAAGCCAAGATGGACAGGGCACTATCTTAATTTTCATAGTCACCGCCCCATTCATTACAAACGTGGTTTAATAAAGAGCTTATTTAATAGAACCAATCGTATCTGTACTAGTGATGGTATCGAAGTAGAGACGAAGCTCTTGACTGATACGTTAATGAAAAATGGTTATCCTCTGAAGTTAAGAAACCGATGGAAGGGTTGAAATACAACTAAACCTATGACGCTTCTGGCACCCAAAAAGCGAGTTTGTATCACGTTACCATTCAGAGGCGACACAAATAGTCTCATGTTGAAACGGAGACTTAAATTAGCTATCGACCGAACATTTTATGCAGCCCAACTTGTCGTTATCAAAAAGACAAGGTCTATGTTTAACCAAAAGCCCAAACAGTACGAAAGCGATTGTGTCCATCAGTTTACATGTATGTGTAGAAACACGTACATAGGGAGGAGCAATTGTGATTTGCAATTAGGAGTGGGTGAACACATACCAAAATGGTTGCAGGAACAAATGAATTCCAGTGGTCAAATAAGATCACAGGATAGGCAGACATCATCCTCAATTGCGAAATATTTGATTGAGACTGATCTTAAGGTTGACATCAAATCAGCATTTGTAGTGTTATACAAAAGCCTTCAAGGACGTATACTAAGCTTTATTGAAGCCTTGAATATACGGAAATCGAAACCCTCTTTATGCGTTCAAAAACAATTTGTCCTTACACTTAACATACCCAGGTATTACTGACTTATTATCCAGAGTGGTAATCACATTGATTTTGTGTACTTTAATATTATTTTTAAACAGTTGAGATCATGAGTCGATTGAGGCTAGACCACCATAGAAAACCTGAAAGCACTGGATAGCCGTTTCGTCCTAGTGTGGGACTCCTCAGAGGTGCGCATCCACGACCTCGCCCCGCGGGATCCGAACCAAGGACCCATTAAGCGCTTAACCAACTAGACCACTGAGTCGGCATCCAACGGTGTTAATGTTTAACTTCAACTAATCCACGAAATTGAGCGACACATCCACCATTGTCGTCAGTGAGTTACTACCTCACAACTGACCCGGTTGAACTCCACTGGTCACTGCTTCTCACTAGAACTACAGGATATATATCTTGAAGCCAGTCACTAGTGAGCATATGTTGATTAGTATCAGAAGGGGTTTTGGGGAGACTGTAGTAATTTAAACAGTTGAGATCATGAGTCTTACCTTTAACCTGTCTAGCTGACCTTTAATTTTCTTATAAAAATATCTTAACAAGTTTATGTGTGATCAGATTGTTCGAAATGTATTTTGCAAAGGTATCACATAATTCTGATAAACTTTGTCTTCTTATTTCAATATTGAAATAAAACAACTGTTTAGTTCCTCGTGACTTCAATAATTGTCCAATCAAATTCATGTCGTGTTGTTGAAATTTAAATTGAATAATCACAACTACACCGCATGATATCAATAACTTTTTTAACAGTGACAAGTGTCTATTTAATAAATATGTCATATATACTTTGAAAAGGGAATGGTACCTTGAGTATGATTAAAATTTTCTTTAAGTCATGATCTACTGAAATGATCCAGATATATGTTGTCCAAGTGTATGATTTTCGAACTATTTTGCATTATCGGAGCTGAATGATCAGTTCATAAATATGTCACTCTCATACTGGAGGGGACTATTTAAGCCTATTTCAATAAAATTGATTTCTTAAGAACTAGGCACTGATACATTTTCAAGAATAACAAAATTCTTCTAGTTCACAAAATACAACACAAAGAAACGTATAGTATATATCCGAATAGCAAATATCCGAATATTGAATAAAATTCAGTAAAATTTGTCAACTGAAATAACGATCAATTTACTTAATCCCTTACAATATCAAAACCTGATAAAATATTATCATAATACAGCAGTTAACTGGTTATACTCATCATATCCTCTCGTTTTGTTAAGGCAATTATTATTGTTGAGGAATGATTTTCTTTATCTTTTGTTTGTAAAATTTGTTTTATGTGAAAAAAAATCACTAAGGTTACTTCAAAGAAAAAAAAACATACAATCTACTCTGTAAAATAATCATATTTATATTTCTATAACATTGAATTCTTCTTTCTCTGATTCATCTATTTAATTAAATATGGTAACATTATAAGTATCATACTCATAGGTAATATACAGCTTCTATTTTGAATCGATCTTATATTTGTTTAACATGATGGTTACTAAAGTAACGTTTTATTTATGAGTTTTGAAATAATATAGTTATTTAAATTAAATAAAAAAAGTATAAAAATAATATCCGGTTAATAAAAACAAATGAATAAAATAGAATTTATAGTCTACGGTATACATTCTATATAGGAGAAATAATACAGTGTTAAAACTTGTATAAATGATAAATTTAATATATTTGTTCTTGGTATAAACTACATACTGTAAGAAAGCAGATATCTAATGTACATATACATACAGATATAGTATCAACTTATTTCTTGTTAGCGTTAATGATTATATCTTGTATACTGTATTCATTGCTATTTGTTGGGAAATTTAAAAGTTTCAATAGTTGAGATCATAAGTCGATTGAAGCTAGACCACCCTAGAAAACCTGGAAGCACTGGAAGACCGTTTCGTCCTATTATGGGACTCCTCAGCGGCGCTCATCCACGATCCCGCACCCCGCCAGATTCGAACCCAGGACCTATCAGTCTCGTGCCAGGCGCTTGTGCACGAGTGCTTAACAATTAGACCACTGAACTGGCATCCAACGGTGTTAATTATCTTTTATATTGTTTACTTCCTGAACTACATTGACTTAAACAAAATGAAACTGAATCAATAAAACTGATTAATGTTGTCAATGGTATGAATAAGATAAATTGTTTTCGAATATTGTTTTATATTATAAACATATGTATATTTTTTCATATCATAATGCTTAGAAAAAGTAATAATACATGGTTGACATTAGAATATTATTACCATCGTCACTTTATCCAGTGAACAGTATGTCTACTTAATGATGGCCAACATTGTAATGAACGAGAACACATGCGAGGATAATCGAATGTATTAGAACACAAAATTACAAAATCTCTTAGTAAAATTTGAAAATCATACAGTAAATACTTAATTTGCAAAATGTTAATCAATTGTCTTAGACGTGACTGTTCTTTTAAAAATGTCAATCAATAGTCTCAGGCTTCACTGTTCCCTCCTTTCCCTGCCAATAACCTTTTGTTCCTGTTGATTTCTAGTCAATCTTCTCGACTTTCTGCTTCCAGACATTCTATTCTTGACTATCGTTATATACAATTTATGTCGATATAAGTAGCAAACACCACAATATATTACTAGTTCAGAATTGTGTTAACTAGTACATGATTAAAAATATAATCTATTCGAGAGCTAACCTTGAATAAATACTAAACGAAATAACCCACATTTAAGTTCGCTAATAATAGAGTTCTAACTAGGACGAGTGGGCTTATCATGTGTCATTGAACTTGTAAAATATATTTTTCTACACCTATTCACATGTATTCAATGGATCTTGAGCGTATGATTCAAAACGAACACTTAAATGATCATTAATCTGAATTCTGCCTCAAGAAGGATTTTCTTTAGAATGAAATGATTTATATTATCATATTTTAAACATTGTTTCGATTGGCTAAATTTCTTGTAATTTGATTATGCACGTAATTGACAGGTCTTCTGATAGAATCGATAAACTAATCAATTATACATGTTTTACAATGATTCCCTTTACTTACGTAAGTTCATGAAGAAAATTAACTCCAAAAAAACCATAGATAACTGTAAGAGTTTATATCAAGGCCTAAATTTGATAATTTCAAAAAAACCGAATATGAGGTACAAAGCTAATAATAAAATAATGTTTTTGATTGAGATCATGAACCGATTGACGCTAGACCACTATTGAAAACCTGGAAGCACTGGATGGCCGTTTTTATTCCTACTGTGGGACTCCTCAGCAGTGCGCATCCACGATCCCGCTTTCGGGATTCGAACCCAGGGCCTTCAGTCTCGCGAACGCTTAACTTACTGGACCACTGAGCGTACTTGTGATATCCAAGTGATCAAAAATTTGAACTCCTAGTGTTTCGTGATTTAATATAATCCATTTTTTGGAGTAAATTCATAAACAACTGAAATAAATTAACATAAAGTTACACCATCAAAATAAGATTTCATTATGTCAATAATTATTGTAATAAGATTATTGTTATTTAATAAAATAAAGTATAATCTTGATCATTTCATTTTTCGTTTCTTCTAAAAGACATGTACCTCAAGTTAAATTTTTATATTAAAATGGAATTAATATTTAAATACATTAACTCTAATTGTTATTCACTGTTTGTACTTACTTATTTACGCCTGTTACTCCTCGTGAAGGAGCATAGGCCGCTCACTAGCATTCTCCATCCAACCCTGTCTTGAGAAGATTCACTGTTAGTATTATAAGGGAAATTCGACTGAAACTAATTATTGTTGGATAACAATCAATGTTGAGGGGTGTAAACAATTTAATGTTATTTTAATTCAATATCTAAATTAATAAAAACAGAAGGGTTTTTGTGGATATTATAGTAACTTTGATGTTTGAGATCATGAGTCAATTGAGATTCGACCACCATGGAGAACCTGGAAGCACTGGACGGCCGTTTCGTCCTATTATGGGACTCCTCAGCGATGAGCATCCACGATCCCGCACCCCGCCAGATTCGAACCCAGGACCTACCAGTCTCGTGCCAGGCACTTGTGAGATATCAACTCACTGTTGACAATGGTGTACGGTGGCGCAAATTCGCGGATTGGTTGAAGTTAGAAATTAACACCGTTGGATGCCGGCTCAGTGGTCTAGTTTGTTAAGCGCCTGGCTCGAGACTGATAGGTCCTGGGTTCGAGTCTTGCGGGATGCGGGATCGTAGATGCGCGTTGTTGAGGGGTCCTATGCTAGGACGAAACGGCCGTCCAGTGCTTCCGGGTTTTCTAGGGTGGCCTAGCTTCAACTGACTCATGATTTCAATTAGTGAAATTAATAAAAACATTTATCTATTTTTCAAAGTTTGTAAAAAAATTAGTTTGTTTTGCACTATTTCATTTTGAAATGTTATTGCCTAAGTTACTAGATGTTAAATCATTGAGTTTATTAGATAAGACATTTTTAACTGACAAAAGCTATCTATGATATGAATAGTTCAGTGATAATATTTGTTACTATAATATGTTCTAGAGTAGATTGAAATTTTTGATAATGAGTTAATATTTTAAGAAATGTAAATATCCCATTTTAGTAACTAATAATCTACACCAACACTATTGATTTAGAATAAGTTATGTAACTCGGTTTGAAATCATAAGGCATAAAATCAAATCTACCAAAGTTAACATGTATCTAAATGTAGTGACAAATTCAAACAAAGTAATTCAATCATCAGTGATTTATCGCAATCAGTTATATCATTTTAGTCAATAGTGTATCATGGATTGCTTATTAAAACCATTTAAGAAATTTTGTATTTTTTCATCTTCATTATTTAAAATGTTGAATTCAAAAAGCCAAATGAAATAAAAATTAATATTTATGCTTTAATTGTTTTAATCACCTATCAACATACAATGGTGCTCATAAATATTCTTCGACTGTTTTTTTATCAAAATCATCATTGTGACTTGATCGATAGAGTTTAATTAACATTAAGTAGGATTCCACAACCATGACACTGATCACTACTTAGGGATCGATCATGTGTAAATACATCATAGTCCTATAGGTCAGTCGTGGTTCAAATAGCTCAATGGTAACTTCTCTGACTGTAAAGCTTGGTGACACAACATTGAATCCCTCACAAAGGACTAGTTCCCTCAAGATTATAGGTACATTTTGCTAATGAGTGCTAAATAGCATAAAACTGACACCAAACAAGGCCTCATGAATTATATATATTACATTTATCATATATTTATACTTTTCAGACATGGATTGACCAATTACTTCGTTGGGATCCAGCTAATTATTCAAATATACGTGAAGTACGAATTCCACCAAGTGTAATATGGACACCAGACATTGTACTTTATAATTAGTAAGTAAAATGAATCATATTCTTATTAAATATAATTATTTATTTAATAGTTATTACATTTAAAGGATATAAGTAGGATGTCTTTATATTTATATCTGATTTCGAAAGATCATTATTTCTGTCATTTCTATTGTATCCATAAATAATTCTTTCTAGGTAATGTGTAACAACAAAAAGTTTGTAATAATGTTATTTTTAACTTGAAGGTAATATTGATTAGTCACTGATATATCACTCGGAAAACTGTTGAAAAAATTTTACTCTGAATTGACTTTCCAACATACCAGTATGAAAACATACAACATTGGCAAAATCTAATGATAATCGACCTTTATCGCAATATTTGATCATCACTGTAAAACGATGAGAAGTTTTTTTCCATCAACAAAACACTTGATCAGTAGTATTTAGTTTCCAGTAATTCTATATCTAATGGAAATCTTTCAGAAACAAAATCCCATCTAATCATATAACATTTTTATTTAGTCTGTTTTATGTGTAACTAAAATTAACTTCGAGGAATATCTGAAAATATTATTACATGACACATTATTTTTATTTAATGCAAACAGTTAATTGATCATTGAATAGTAGTCAGTATTATGTTTGTTTAGTCTTTTATAGATGAATAAAGCCTATTAATCAAGTTGTAGCCACTAATCTAACTGGCTCGACATTACATGCACTATTTTGAAGTATCAGCTAGAAGAATATTTAGTTATTTTACGACTACCCTTATCTATCTTACTTAATGTTTCATAAGTTAAACTGATCTATTTTAAACTGACTTGCTATAAAAGAATAAATATTCAACTTATTTGGAAAAATATATTACTTGATTTGTCATACTAACTAAGCAATTGTTGTGAATGAACTGACTCAAAGAGTTTAGATTGTCTAATAGTGCTCGGTTTCTGCTGTGAAACAGTTATGGAATAAACATTTAGAATAGTTTAGGTAATTCATTATTTGACATCAACATATGAATGATTGATAACAAATAACTGTACAATATCAGATTAGTAAAATTTTCCGTCAACAGTTTGAGCTGTTATGAAGTCTATAATAATGGTTTATTAATAAATAATAATTGAATTACGTCTGATTATACTGAAATTCAGATTTGTATGTTCTAGTCCTCTTCTAGTAAGCTTTTGTGAGTATCTAATCTTCGGTTGAATGCGTAACTTGAAGGTGTGGATACTAATAATCCCAGTAGTTAGTTCCAAAAGTTTATGACTCAGTGGAAAAATCAGTATACCATGGGTAGTTGGTTCATTCTTGACTTTTGAACTCACCTGCTTTATCTTTTGAGCTGTCCTGATCTACTAGGAAGAAGAAGAGAGGATGTATCAAGTTCAAAATCATTTTTAAGTATTCTATATTATCAAAACCAGATCACTTCTTATTCTAGAGTAAGACGGAGCAAAGAGATATAACTTCTCAGGTCGCCCTGTGTACGATATGATCCGAAATTGTCACATAATACAATCGTATTCAGTCAGGGTAAAGTTATGAACTCTAAATAAGTGAATTCCAGTTTTTGATGGTATCGATAGACTTTTATGACAGAATATCTCAAATTTTTCCTGTAGTTATCATTGTTTTAAACGATTTATTTTGAAAAAATGGAATTGATTGAATGATCCAATCTGTGCTTTTTAATCACGCTTTTTAAAATGTCAGTTAAAATTGTTTTCATATACACATGTAGTTAATTCATATCAGAAGGGTTTTGTGGATATTATAGTAACTTCAATGTTTGGGATCATGAGTCAACTGAAATTAGACCACCATGGACAACATGGAGGCACTGGATGACCGTTTCGCCCCATTGCGGGACTCCTCAGCAGTGCGCATCCACGATCCCACCTTGCAAGATTCGAATCCAGTACCTGTCATTTAGTTAAAACAAAATTTACATCTCTACTTTAGTTAAGCTTATGTAGTGACCTATTAATTTTCATATTAGTTTATTAATTGGTGAATACTAGTACCATGACTCTTAGCTAGAATAAAGTAGCAATGAATACTTCATATATTTCTAAAACAATATTTATTCACAATAAATGGTTAAACAGATCATGGGTAAGTAGTATGACATTTTTAATGTCATATATAAACCCATTGTATATTGTCATTATAAGAGCAAACATGAATTGAAAATTTAAAACATTGTTTATTCGTCTGATAAAGCATCATGACAACAAGCATATTCGACATGAACTAATAAAATCTAATTAAAATGAGTATGAACAAATCTGTAGTGATGTTTTTCATATAAATAAGAGGAACATTATTGACGTAGAGCAATTTTAAGTTACCATTTAATAAAGTAAGCAACATATACTGAGCAGAGGTGGATGGTTATCTAATTTTAACTACGAAATTTAGTTGGTAACTCATAAACGCTACTTATAACGTCATAGCACAGCAAGCCTATGATATTCAAGTCACATAGAATACACAACATCGTCATTGAGTTGATATTTCAAAATTTAGTGTCATTCGTTCAACATTTTTAGCTAATAATTGTCCCACTTTTGATTTGATTAAGGTCATATTGAATTATTTGTTCTACATTTTCATACCATTTCCCATGATATCATTTTCAGTGCTGATGAACGTTTAAAAGAGAAACGTGATGTTATGTTGAATGTTGATTATATGGGTCGAGTATTTTGGAGTCCACCAGCTATATTTAAATCAAATTGTCCAATTGATATAAAGAATTTTCCATTTGATTATCAACATTGTTTCTTAAAATTTGCATCATGGACATATAACAGTGAACAATTAGATTTACAATTTTTAGACAATCGTACTGAAGTTGATATAGATCAGTATACATCAAGTAATGAATGGTCACTTGTGGCTAGACCAGCATATCGATTTGTTATGTTATCTGATGAATGCGGTAAAGAAATACCAGATTTAACATTTTTCTTATTGTAAGTTATAATTGTTGAGTTTTTATTATATGTATATATAAGTGAACATTTCTAGCTTTTATATTGTAATTTGTCATTCATTAAATCAGTTTCTTGAAATATGAATAATTATTATATTTTAGTAGTAAAATATCGACGAATTTCAATTCAAAAATACTGAATACAGCGTGATTTTGTAACACACTATTCTGGTGGAAAAGTGATTACCATGAGATCTAAAGGTTCATGGTTCAGTTTATTGTAAGGTGAAGAGTGAGCAGTACCCGATGACTCTCCATACTCTGACAAAAATGTTATTCAATGCTACCTGCTTCTTAGTAGTACTTTGAATGTCATCAGTCCGTGGTGAAAACCACCTACAAATTAGGGAACTTTAGAAAAAGCTAACCTTTAGACTCATACATAATATTATGAAGATCAGTAAAATTCTACACTTTTTATCGGTGAACGACCCAGGAAATTGTTATTATCAAGTCACTGATGACATAATCATGCTGTTTGTATTGTTATTCTCCATATAAGCGTAATGGAATATGTTTTTTGCTAAAGATCAGGATTTTAGAGGTGTGTTGGTTTCTGAACTGGATGGTTCTGTCGTATTGTTTTCATAGCTCCTCTCAAAGTATCATCGGTACATACTTAAAAAAATCCATTAATATTATTTCGCAGTTGATTAACTGTCTGTTTTTTCATCCAGAATTTAGTCAGTCATTCTCCATAATTATGTTACCGTTCTGGTTCAGAGACTTCAGGTAAAAATTTATTATCCCAACAAAAGTGGTCTAAGTGAACACTTCCATCTCATTAACTGCGTTGGATCACTGCATTTATGTATTGACCAGAAATTTATCAATTTGCTTTAAAAGTTACAAACACTGTTCTCTTATCAAACCTTTCTACGTAATACACCTAAGTCTGATTATGTGAACAATAACAATGAATCACGGCTAATTAAACAACGTGAACTATCATGATCGCTGTGTTTAATTTCAGTTTGTTTTAACATCGGTAAACTAATTTACTAAACCAACTTAAAAATTCATGTAATGGTATCTCTTTAATACATTGACAATACAATTGGATCAGTCATCATGATGATGTATATATTTATACCAAAATAAAGCATTAAAATTGTTGATCAGTGTGTGTGAACATTTAAGAGTATCACTGTTAGTTTTTTTTCAATAGGCTGCTTATAAACAAACAACATATTATCAATACATGATATTTACAACTTCAACCTTACTTAGTTTCGTATCATCACCTCATGTATAAGTATAAGGAGACACACAATAATTAGGCAATCTGTAAACTTGGACAAATAACCTTAATGAATGAAACGATACATGAGGATTTCACAAACAAACTTCTTTATTACCACAAAACTTAAAGTGAACATTTAAAATTAGTCTGATCATAAGAAGATGCTTGAAACGCAACATAAACAATTATGTAATAACTATTTAATAAAAATATAATCGATTATTAAGTATCTAATTTTCTTGATGATTTTTATAGAGTCATTTCATTAAATTATCGAATGTTTAAATTTATTATTCAAAATAACTAATTTTATTGATTTATGTCGATTATCATTTATATTTTTCAAATTACGCGCATTTAAAAATTGTCAATCATTTTTTACTATTTTAACTTAAATAAACAATCACTTCATTCAAACATAATACATCCATGTTTGAAATAATACAAAAAATGAAACAATTTTTTTTGGTTTCATACAAAGGATAGAGAATAATTTTGAAAAAAAAATTAAAAAAAAACTAAAAACTAAAAATAAACTGCTTAGAAAAGCTAAGGAAGATTAGTTTGTAAATATTTCAGATCAACATAATTATTAGCATTAAATTTTTTTCTTTCTTCACGGTTAGTATGAAATCTTTGCTGAACAAATAGAAAAAAATAATCGCAAAAATAAGAAAAAAGAAAAAAACAAAAGAAAGAAAAATAACTGAATAAAATTGAGTTTTGTTTTTATCCATTTATCAACTTAAAGAAATTGGACAATTTTGAAGTAAAAATCTTTCCCTTTTTTTGAATTTATTCAAGAAAAATAAAAGATGAATTTAAAAGTAGTTGTATAGAATGGTTTAGAAAGAGAAAGAAACATACAGATTGTTTCTAATTTATGTGATAATGTAATCAGTACTTAACTTTCATCATTATGCATAGAAACAAACTTACTATTTTATTCCATTTTCTTGTTTTTCTTACTTAAATCTTCTAGATTTACTCTATTTTATATTGTAAATTATATCACGAACTGATTGTAGTTAGACAATCAGTTAAAACTAGAAATCATTGAATAGTTGTTTAACTTTAGTAATATGATGTCGCAAGAGTGTACATCTACAGTATTAAAATAGTTATGTACTATAGTGAATTGATTAGAATCAAACATGTGGACTATTGGATTTTGACTCAGTAGTCTAAAATTTTGAATATTTTTTGACAATTTGAAGATTGTGTGTTTGTAGTGAACAAGAACACGGGTGGGGACAATCGAGTGTATTTAGTACATACATTACAGATTTACTCGGTAAAATAGAAAAACCAAATAGTAAATCGTTAATTTGCAAAATATCATTCCATCATATCAAACCGGACTGTTGCCGTTGCAATCATCGATCCATTGTCTCACATTTCATTGTTCATGCGTTTTCTTACTAATTGCATTGTGTTCCCACTCTTCCTTTCTTGACCTTCCCCCATCTTCTGCTGCCAGACATCACGTTCTTTAACTCGCGTCATATACTACTCATATCAATATAAGTAGCACACACCACATGTTCAGTTACTGCTAGGGTGTTGGATACATACATACTTAAGAATTCCATATTAATATAAAACAGCTGTCTAGTACTTGTCAGTTTTTAATAGTTGTCTAATTATGTAATTCATCAATATTTTTGTTTCAATCGTTTCCATTTCTAATTAATTAAATAATTTCAGTACAACGATTTTGTTCGAAATGTATCGTTGTAACTAGAAAATCAAACGAAGTAAATTATGGTTACCAAGATCTTTTTTGATGTAAAGATTAGAATTCTAAATAAAATTTATTAAAATATTAACAGCTATCTCATAAACATTGGAATTAATGTTGCTTCTTTGCTAACAATTTCTTTCATGTTTCAGCTAAACACATTTTTGATCAAACAACCTATTTAATTAACTAATCTTAATTTGTTATCGTCTGAATAACCCTATTTTCAATATCTTAGTTAAATGATCTTTAATCTTTGATTTAGCAATGCTACTGAATCTTTTTACATGGTTTTGTATAGATTTTGAAATAATGAATGATACCATTTAATATATAAAATCAGTGAAAGATAGATGGGGTTGAGTAGTTGTCTTAATTTAGTTTTGAACTGTTAAGTGAAATATATACACAAGATCGTAATAATCGCTTTCGTGCTGTGTGAAGATGATGGTATTATTTAGGCAGTTATCTGGTTTCTGATGAATTGCATTTTTCAATTGCTATCGTTTCGCCACAACTCATAAATCACTAGATATCTTCTACCCTAACATTAACTATCATGGCTTTTCCCTGGGACATAGGAAGATTATTTATTTAGGGAGTACATTCTTTAACGTCTTGAGATTATATTTTATCAGGAACTGATATCTTAATTTGCGACCTGTTGTTTTTTCTTTGTTCCACTCAATCTATCTTTTCCATACTTAGTTTAGATGCATTTCAGCATAAACCATCACATACTTTACATATTATCGATCTCATAGAATAATATATCAATTATTTTTGCTCACAAAACACTTCAACTGATTGCTTCATATTGATTCAAATCAAAAACTTTTTTATCGTTGATCGATTTTAGCTGAGAAATATCTGTAAACCAGGAAGAACAACTTTTTAACCCTGTCAACTTATCATATATTTTATGAGTGGAATCAGTTACCTTTATGCTCCGTTGTAGGCGAGTGAACGAATATGTTACCTTTACGTCATTAAATCGTGATCGAATCGTTCATATTTCACTCGTTTCTAGATACAACACAATTGCTATCAAGTATTAGTGATTAAACTTGTTCCACAACCATAAAATATTGTACAAATTACTTAATATCTATTATTAAAAACTTTCTATATTGATATGAATGAATTAACAATAAATATTGTTTTTGAAAACTAATACAAATTAATGTGCTTTCTGCTTTTGAACTCTGTTAAAACATTTGTTTACACTGATTCAAATATCAAATAGTGTTTATCTATACATACATATATATACATAAAGAGAGAGAAAGCCGAGTTTTTCATTTCATTCAAGTATATTATTTAAGTAGTATAAATAACGTTTTTTAGTTTTTTCCCTATTGATTGATCAGTAGTTAATTGGTTATGACAAGTATGTATATTTATGGAAACAATTATTATTATTATTATTATTATTATTATTATTATTATTATTAGTAGTAGTAGTAGTAGTAGTGCGGTGTAAGCTACTTATATAGATATAAGTATTATATGATGTTAGTCGTAAACAGGTCTAGAAGCAGAGAGACAAGAGGATCGAACAGTAAAGAATGGAAACTAAAGGCAATTTGTATGAAAATGCAAGAACAATCAGGTCTGAGTCATTTTGAGACAACTTGTGGACATTTTGCAAATTAAGCATTTACTTTATGATTGTTAGATTTTATTAACCAGTCCTGTAATTTTGTGTTAGATACATTCGATTGTCCCCACCCGTGCTCTGTTCACTACAGTGGTAGTAAGTATATTACAAACTGGTTAATGTTAAATTGTAATCAGTTTAATTAGTCTAATATATTGATTGTATAATCATAATTTCAATGATAATGTTTTCTTATGAATAAAACAAATTACCATTAAATGGTTTATTTATCATTAAAAAAATTTAAACTATAAATTAAGTACAAATAGATAATCATTAAAATTTAAGATAAAATCATTTAGATGTTTTGTCATAGTAACAGATTTATTAAGAGGATAAATCTGTCATCTTATCGATCAAAGTTAAACTATGAAATAGATTATCGTTGAAAAATTCCTAAAATAGTTCACTATGCAGTGGATTATAAATTACATATACTAAGGGACAAGGTTTTTTGTGGATATAATAGTAATTTAATAGTTGAATTCATGAGTCAACTTCGCAACTCATGGATTGGTTGAAGTTAGACATTAACACCGTTGGATGCCGGCTTAGTAGTTTGCAGGTTAAGCGCTCGTGCGCGAGAACGATAGGTCCTGAATTTGAATCTCGCAGTGGGCGGGACCATGGATGCGCACTGCCGAGGAGTCCCATAATAGAACGAAACGACCTTCCAGTGCTTCCACACATGAATTCAACTATTTGATCACAAAAGTTTTACTAAAGACCAACGTAATTGAAATCAGCTGATTATAAATATTTAATTTAAAATATTTACACAAAGGTACTAGAAGTAGATTATTCATCTTAAAATCCTGACAAAAACTCATTTAAATGTGCTAGGTAGATTTTTTGTAAAGTCCAAATACTCATTTGACAAATGTATGTTTTCTTCACAATCTAACAGATTATCTAATGAATAATAGTAGCAAAACAAGAAACATTCCTGTGTGAAATCCGTCTCAACAAACCACTCAGATAAGAGATTGTTGTATTATAAACAGAAATACTACTGTTTGTATTTGTTTACAAGTTTAAAAGTGTGGAAAACATAATTATTCTTTGATGTTTGTAATTACCATTTATTATTACTATTATTATCATTATTATTTTCAGCTTAAAACGTAATCCTGCTTTCTATGGATATTTATTAGTGTTTCCATGTGTATTACTAAGTGTGATTACAACAGTGATATTTTGGTTGCCTCCACAAATACCAGCTAAAATGATACTTAGTAAGTGTATATAATTTTAATTATAATTTTATATTATTATTATTATTATTATTATTCTGTTTTGTTTGTTTTCCTAATGTCTTAATCAATATACAAATTTGATTAAATGAAAGTATTTATCGAAATTAAGAAAACACTGTAAATTTTTCAAAATGATATCAACTATTCACTAAGGTTAAGTTAATTATCATTGTTTAAAATCTAATTAAACATTAATTATATATATCAGCCTGGGGTTGTGGAGATTGTTCAGTATTTGATCGAGATCATAAATCAATCCATGTTAGACCACCATTGAAAACCTGGGAGCAGTGAACAGCTATTTCGTCCTAGTATGAGACTACTTAGAAGTGCGCGTCCACGATCCTGCACGCAGGGTTCGAACACAGGATCTTCAGTCCTTTGGACCTCTAGATCACTGAGGCAGGATTCAACGGTATTAATGTCTAACTTCAATCAATTCACAAAATCGCCCGACCATCTTCCGAAGCCCGAGTTAGAAATATATATATATTAATTTGAATAACTGACAACAATAAAAGAAATACATCGTATTTTAGGGAAAACGTTATAGTCTTTAGATGGTTTCACTGTTTATCTATCAGTATAATTCCTCTCATTGAGATGTAGGTTATATCGATCGGATAAACTATATTCTTTAGCTTTTTAAGCGAGTATTCAGGTCAATTAATGAATTAATTCTTTAACTGTTCATCAATGTCTACATTAGAATCATATTTTGAATATTTTTACAAGGTCAAAATCAATCAGCTTAATAAGTGTATGATCAAAAACTGATACATAATAAAGTGTATAGAGATTCGGAAATTTATTAATGAAATTTTGCATGAATAATGATAAAATTTAGTTCCACCATTTTACTGTGACTTTTAATGTCCCATCTATATTTCGCTGTTCGATAATAAGTTGTATATTCATCAAGTGAATAATTGATTCTCATACTACTTAATTATAAACTAATTTTCTTTAATTTCCACTGACTCAGTTCCTTTTCAATTGTTCTAATATTTCTTTCTTGATATTAAACGTTACCAAGCACTTTTTATGATTCAGTATCAACCTATGTTTTACAATAAAATCTTTTGATGATAGTGATCTATTTATTCAGTATGATATATTAAACAGAATATGGAATTTTAACGCAAATTATCCCAATAAGCTGCACTTATTCTTCATAGGGATTACTACATATACGTGGAGAGAGAGAGAGAGCGAAACGGAATGATTTTTACGATGATAAGTAACATATTTACGTATTTCATAATATATGTACTCAATACAACATTGTAGAGTTTTGTGTGCATAGATTCTAATGTACTTAGGTCTTGGTCTGTCAGAAGTTATACAGTAGAAAATAAATAAGTGAAGTTGTTATTTTGAATCTGATAAAAAATCACACTAGCTATTCCAAGTTTTTCATATGCCCATTCATCACACACTTTACAAGTAGCCGTCAATACTCTACGTAACACTCTAAAATCTTTTCTCAGAACTTCAAGAGAAAAAGAAGGAGAACATTACAATATAGCGAGTAATAAATAGGTTACTCAAAAAATCGGTAATCAGTTTATGCAATAAGTCGGACTAAAAGCATTCTCTGATATTAACAAATGATGAGAAGATCAAGAGAAATCAGCCAAAACACAAACATCAAGATAAACAACATTTGACATGATTTCCATTAAATAATCTCTAGCAGTACAAACGTCATGTGAATCCAGAAAATTTGTTTAGGTCTTTTTCATGTCTTAGGTTAACGCTAACACTTTAACAATCAGAAGTATTAGGTCCAAACCATTTATAATGAACCATCGTTTAATGTTTATTTATTTAAAAACAATTGGAAGAGGAAGAACCTAATGAACATACAATAAGACTATTTGTATACCTTAAAAAGTTCTTTTTGTGGAAGATGGCAAATCATGTGAGAAAAGAGAACAGAAAAGGTGAAATAATAGTTTCTTGAGACATACTAACTTTTGTTAATAAATGATTGGAACACTTATTTTCATTGTTCTCTTTCAGAATAGTAAAATTACACCCACATGGTCATTAATACTAGCTAATTTCTTTATATGTTGGAGGTTTTGGAACAGAATCAAAACAGAAGCGTAGTCTAAAGAAGTACATCAAACGTACTTATTATCCTTTTCTAAATTGAGGACTTTATTATGGTGTACGATAACTAAGTCATTTAAAGTAATTCTTTCGTATTTGTATTCAAACTGATATTAATTAGTGCACTCCTATAATTCGTGCTGAAGTGTAAGTAATAACAGTTCATCCATTGTATTGAGAAAAACAGAAATTATCGCTAAAAACCTAATTTTAACATTTCGACATTTTCAATACTTCATAAATTATTGTCTACTAAACCAAATCTTTCTATATTTAATAATGTTCTGTTTTAAAATATGTTACTAAGGTCTATTGATATTGATGTGAAATAAAGATTCTCTTTCATGAGTCAATAATACTAATGCTTATTCAATGGTAAACATGTGATATATAAAGTGTTATAACCCGATACTTACAATGAATGGTAACTGTTGGGATCCATTTATGGTCAAATATTATACATATATTTTTATTGTATAATTGTTAAGTAATTAAATTATTCTATCGATTACTACCTCCCACATTCACAGCCATATTTAGTGAGATCTTGTACAAACGTTGATTCCAATTTTATAGTATGATGTGGTCTGTCGGTTTGGTATATAAACCGAGTATGTTTGAAATAAATGATTCATACTGCAGAAGCTGAGACTGGTGTTCTTGACTTAACTGGCTGGGCTGGACAGGAAGCAACACCAATAAGTACTATAGACTGCTCGTACAGGTTTTATGCGTCATTAGTCCGATCGATAAATCACTGCTCTTTAATTGATGGTATCATTACGTTATACATGAATAGGATACAGGGTACAAGCTATAACATAAAGACAATAAACAATGAATGATTTAGTTACTAATCAATCTGATACTTATTTAGCAACATTCGTTTCAATCTGTAACTTTGATACAATTAACCGATACACAATCACATATTACCCCTTATCACATTAACTTCATTTCGATAGATTGAATATATTGAACTCTATTTCTCGTATCTTATTTTGAGTTTATATAAGTTACATGTAATTAGTGGGAATTTATTGAGATGAAAATGAATTCATATTATCTAATTTCATTCATTATAATTTCCTATTAACAAAATTTCATAAATCTTATAAGAGAAGTGTGAAAATCAATTGAACATTGAATTTATTCAATATTCAATCAGGAAAAAAATTCTTGGATAAGTTTTTTTCGTTTACGAATAGTCGTTTCATTAAAAAACATTTTTATAATGATTAACTTTCATTACAATTGCAAACAAAATGGTTGAAAAACTTAAAAGTAAAGAAAATAATTCTATTACAAATTGAATTTTAATAAATCAGAAACTAATGATCAGAAATGGGTTTTGTGGAAGTTAAGTGTTCGCGCGTGAGACTGATAGGATCTGAATTCGGATCTCACGAGGCGGGATCGTGAATGCGCACTGCTGAGGAGTTCCACAGTAGGCCGTCCAGTGATTCCAGGTCTTCCATAGTGATCTGGCTTCAACTGACTCATTAACACAACTAAAAAACGGATAATCACCATAAAATTTAATAATAGAAGATTCCATAGTATTTATTTATCCATGTTAATATAGTCTAACAAAACATTATTTAACTGAAAATTTAATTATTCTTGTCATGTGATCAAATTTACCTTAAAGAATATTAACACTAGAATCATGGTTTGTGCTACTTATGTCGACATAAGTAGTATATAACGCCAATCAAGAATAGAACGCTTAGTAGCCGAAGGTTGAGAAGATCAAAGGGGAAAGGATGGGAACAGCAAGTAATTAATATAGAAATAAAAGAACAATGAAATTTGAGACAAATAATGAATATTTCGCAAATGAATTATTGGAGTATGATTGTTTTCTATTTTATCAAGTAACTCAATAATTTTGTGATAAATATAATCGGTTGTTTTCACCTGTGTTCTCCCTCACTAAAGAATTTATCACATTTAACTTATGAAAGCGGACAGCTAGAATGCAGCTGGACGATCTAGACTTCGCAGATGATCTGTCTCTTCTATCGCACACTCAATAACGAATGAAGGAGAAGACGACCAGTGTAGCAGCAGATTTAGCAGTAGTGGGTCTCAACATACAAAAAGGAAAAGCAGGATTCTCCGATACAACACAGCATAAAACAATCGAATCACACTTGACGGAGAAGACTTAGAAAATGCAAAAAACCTTTACATATTTGGGCAGCATCATTGATGAACATGGTGGATATGATGCAAATGTGAAGGCGCGGATCGGTAAAGCAAGAGCAGTATATTTACAACTGAAGAACATCTGGAACTCAAAACAACTCAACCAACACCAAGGTCAGGATTTTCAATACAAGTGTCAAGACAGTTCTACTGTATGGAACGGAAACCTAGAGAACTACGAAAGCCATCATCCACAAGATACAGGTGTTTATTAACAGATGTCTACGTAAAACACTTCGGATCCGTTGGCCGTACACTATTAGCAACAACCTACTGTGATAGAGAACAAACCAGATCCCAGCGGAGGAAGAAATCAGGAATAAGCGCTGGAAGTAGATAGGACACACATTGAAGAAAGCACCAAACTGAGTCACAAGACAAGCCCTCACATGGAATCCTGAAGCCGTAATGAGAAGAGGAAGACCAAAGAACACATTACTCCGGGAAATGGAGACAGACATGAGAAAAATGAACAAGAATTGGATAGAACTAGAAAAGAAGGCCCAGGACAGAGTGGGTTGGAGAATGCTAGTCGTTGGCCTATACTCCACTAGGGGTAACAGGCGTAAGTAAGTAAGTAAGAAACTTATAAAAGACATGATTATTTAAACTTAAATCAGTCAACAAATTTTAACAATAAATTTGAATTACAGTTTGAAATGACATTTTACAAATGATAATAAACAAACTATGAAAAACATGATTATATACCTAAAACTTTTATCAATAATCAATAAAATTTATGTGTAATTTCTTACGTTTCAATAGTCATCTATTTAGCTGATTAATAAATTGTTGGCTTTCACTCAATCCCTTTTTATTTTAACTTGTTTATTATCCAAAAAGAAGAAAGAATTTCTAGGGGATAAATTTGTTTGTTTGCTTATTTATTTTCTTTATGTTTACTTCTTTTTCATAATTATTTACATATTGTTTTCCTTAATTAAAAAAGGTATGAATATATTTGTGGCATTTTCGTTGTTATTAAAAATACTTGCTGTTTCTACACCATCAGCTTCAACAATAGTACCATATTTGGGTAAGATTGTTGTGTATTTTTGATATGTTATTTTTTTCCATTCACTTTATCTTTACTACTTATTGGTGTATCTGAGTAATAATAGAAAGAATTCCAGTAAAATGACTATTACAATATCCCTCGTTATCTATTCTCCTGAAGTATTTATGTTTTTTCTATAATTTATTCACGTCTAAAAAATATTGAATAATGAATTAACGGTATAAATACAGACTAATGATGTCTACAATGACTTTGTATAAATATTTAAATGAAACAATAGCAAGCTGATATAATCTTAGCAGTTTCTTAAGTATTCTCATCCAGGCATTAAAAGTACAAAATGAGTAGAAAATTATTTGTTATAATTTATGTGTTCATCATGGGTTGACACTAATATATAATTTTATATTTAAATATGGGATTAATAAAAATGATTAATGCAGGGTTGTATGAAGATTGTCGAATTTTATAGTTCATATCACGGATTAACTTTACTACGACAATCATTAGAAACCAGAAAAAAATGAACCATTATTTTGTCTTAGTATGGGACTCTTCAACATTTACACTGAGGATCACACCTAGTACTTTCAAATCAGCAGAGAATTATAAACATTTAAACTACTGAGACTTCATCAAACTTGAGTACATATGAGAAATTGCTCAACCATCATCTTAAAAATCCTAGATTCAATCCTCAATGAGATTAAGGCTTTGTATTACTGTAGAGTTTCGTGCTAATATGAGACACCTGTCAAGTTCTTCCTGGTGTTGAATGATAAGTCTTGCGGACTGAACGCTATATCCGTCTCCTAAGCTATTCTGTAATTCCCAAGCTAGAACTATACAGCGACCTAAACACAAGAGAGAAGACTTAAAGTATGCGAGAAGTAGTTTACTCCATGGTTCATTTTAATACAGAAAACGCAGAATTTTTATATTTTAAATTTCCTTGGGTTGCTAGAAGATTCTGGAATGCTACTAAACATAGTAGCAGTGTAGCAGCCAGCCAATCAGAGCCTCTGCATGTGACGTTTCGCTTCCTTGATATTTTTGGCTAAGACTTCAAGTGAACGCTGAGTGGATGAAACGCTTCTTACTGTTTCCTGATGCTTGCTTGTCTTTTGCAAGCAATTTTCTGGATCACTCCAACATTCAATTACTGTCTAACTACGATCGACCCGTGCTGTAAATTATAAAATAATACAAAAGAAATATTGGTGTGTAATTTAACATCATAATGATAATAAAACGGAATTTATAATGTCTCATTATAAGTCCCATTACACAAGAATGAAGTAGAAAAACTGTTTCTGTAAGTCTGAATTTAAGAATCCAATTATTGCTAAAAATAATTACACAACAATACAGATGTAGAATAATGATGTATCTGATGAATACACAGATAGTTAGAGGAAGTTGGCAATTTATTCTTCAATTCCTTGGAATCAATATTGGTCAACCAAATTACGAACAAATGCTCTTCTCAAAACCTTATTTAGAGGATAGGTTAGCATCTTACTCACTATGTTATCTTTAAACTATAGCTTCATAAATAAAAAATGGTATTACTGGAACAATGTTATCACTGAAAGATGTTCTTAGAAGTAATAATATGTATATATCAGTCTATCATCAATATGTCCTATATTCTTAATTAAAACTAGACGAAGTAAATCAGAATATGTTATTCGAAAAATTAGGATGATGAATGAAAGATATTCAGTGTATTTATAGATTATGAAATTAGTTTGTTTCGTAATCTCTAAGTGAAAACTAATTAATTACTCACTTGTTTTTTACATTCATTATAAATAAAGAGAAGTGATTCTATATTATTATATATAAATGATAATTAAATTAGCGTAAGGTGTTGATATTACATAGAATCTGATTGATTTTAATAAAGATACACATGTCAATAGTGAACAAAAATAGCAACTAGACTATAAATATCATTTCGGCCTGAATTCATTTGATAAATAAACTTGATTATTAAGTCTTTGATTGAGATCATGAACTGATTTATGTTAGACTATCGTCGAAAACCTGGAAGCACTGGATGGCCGTCTCATCCTATTGTGGAACTCCTCATCAGTGCGCATCCACGATCCCGCTTGCGGGGTTCAAACTCAGGGTCTTCGGTCTCGCTTGCGAACGCTTAACCTATTGGATTATGATATGCAATAGTGATGTAAAATGTAAAGTATGATTACAATAACATGAAATTCGAGAGAATGTTCTTCAAAGGTTTTGATTATAATTAAATACAGAACAAAAATACTTATGATAAGTAAGAGAGTAATAATGCTTGAACTATTAACAAAATAATTATAGACTGACTAACTGAAGTCAAGCACAAGAGAGATGTTCACTGAGATTATATCTTTGTTAAGAAATATACTGATGATTATATATGATATGATGCTTAATTGAAAATTTCGGAAAACAAGATTTTAAATATAATTGTCATAATCACTGAAATGACATCATGGTGACTAAGCTTCTATATACGAACTCATAAGATGACAATCATTTTAATCTCTTATATTTTTGAATAATTCTGTCTATGTACTTGTATGATGGTTGGGACGAAAAACAAAAAAAAATGAATTACGATGCCATTTTAGAAAAGAAAAGTGCAATTTAATGACCTCACAGTCTATTGTTCAAACAATAGATCTCAATCATTAAATATTTCATTTTGACTTCAATGTTATCATGTATGCTTCAAAACTTTAACACAAGACCTGATCATTCATATCTTTTTATTTTAGTCTAACTAACAAGGAATTAGATCGACAAGCATTGAGACTTGGTAATAAACACAACAGTATTTAATCAAAATATGTATCTGTTAAATGGATTATAAGATACTTTGTTCTTATATCCTAATAAAGTTAGGAAACTCTTCATTTACTTTCTAAATCTCATTAGTTTTTTTTCAGCTAACATCTACCTATGATAAAGCTTCACCCTCCTTAAACTTAATTAGTTAAAAAAAAAGTAATTAAGTTGTGTTATAAACAATATAGGAACAATAACGGGGCAGATTTGCAAGCATATAGCATACAATTCTCTTTGAACCTAGCACACAACAATACCGTCATGCACTGCCCCATTGCCCATGGCAGATCAGGCAACCTGAAAAACATAAAAACACCATCAGGGCATATGACAGGCCAGGTACCTCATAAACAATATAATATATTTCTTATTGAGACATTCAAATTAACAAGATTTTAAATTAGATATTTACTTATTGAATATTGATTTCTCCCCATTCATTGAACTACATTAGTATCCATGATTGACAGTTATACTAATTCAAAATTTAGAAATTCGGAAGCACATATATATATATATATACTAAATTTAAACAAAATACACTTTAGTAACTAAACCGTTATAAATGATACAAATTAGAAAAAGAAAAATGAAATTTTGTCTTTATAAATGGTTAATTGTTTCAAGGTAATAATCCAAAAAAACTTATGAAAATACATTTTGATATTTGTAATAAATATCTGTAATAGTATTCTACTGATATCTACTAGATAGATATTACTAATATGTTAATAAACATTGACTGAAATGCAATATAAATAGTTGAGATCATGAGTCAATTGGAGGTAGATCACCATGGAAAACCTAGAAGCACCAGACGGCTGTTTCGTCTTATTGTGAGACTTTTCAGCAGTGCGCATCCACGACGACGCCTTGCGGGATTTGAACCTAAGACCTATCGGTTTTGTGCGCCAGCGCTTAACCTCTAGATCACTGAGTCGGCATCCAACAGTGTCAATGTCTAACTTCAACTAATTCACGAAATACAATATTTTTCTTTAAAATAGAAAGTTTGAAACAATGAAGTTATGCAATTCACATGAGTGATTATAAATTTGTTTAAGCTAACTGTGATCTAATCATGAAACTATTTGTTTGTTTTTAACAAATTTTATATTGACATATTATAAATTATAGATGGTATTGGAACTATCAGATTTAAGTATTCTTCTTATAGGAAATATGAAGTACATTATAATTATTCTAATAAAAACTGATTATTCACGTTTTTTTCAATGTAACTTATTGATCTAACATGTATAGTTGAATATTGAGAATATGCGTTTTCGTTAATTTCATATGAACTAATTTTATTCACGTCATATATATATATATATATATATATATATATATATATATATATATTTTTAATCCGTTTCTAATCAAATTTAACTGAAGTTAGGTAATGGTTCACAATAGAATTGATGACATTGATTTCGTCTTATTTGGAGCTCTTCAGCTGGATACTTTTGAATTCCAGTGTTAATGTTCATAATGAAATTTAAATCTGTTATTTTTCACATCAAACACTAACACATTATTCATTGAGCTAATGAGTTCAGATAGTTCTAATTAAATTACATTGTTCTACTTAAAACATAAATATTAGTAACAATCTAGAAATATAATCAAATTCTTTACCTATATATTAAAAACAAAATACCATTTTCTTAGGAAAATACCATTAAAGTTTCAGTGTATATATTCATGCATTACAAATCGTCTAAATCGAAGTTTAAATATTATTCCATTTAAATTAAGTAGTATATTAAATCAGTAATTTACTGAACCAACCCAATCCATATACAAATGAGATGCTTCATATATTTTGTAGGTAATTCGAAAAATATTCAAGTAACTAGAAAACTGAAAACTATTCTATTTAATTATATGAACTAAATTAATGTAAATCTGTACACTTAAGTTGGGTAAAAAATGAACCAAATTGAACCAAAATGTCATTTTATGAAATATGATGCATTACAAATATTGATTTGCTAGACAAATAAAAAACCAGTAACTAATTGGTCATTTGATCAGTTTGATAAAAATCAAGTTCCGTCCGTTTTTTTAATATCCTGATCATGAGAAAGTACTTTCTTTTCATGAACTAATTATTGAGTAGTGGCTAATGTGATAGTCCTTTACAGCTGATCAATATCTGTCAAATAAGTTGTACTGCGGCCATTAGTCTAAATGATTCAATATGATGTGCACTATTTTGTGATGTTAGATGCTTGGAGGTGATTGACAGAAAGTCTTGGGTCTATATTTTATGTCAGTTGGCACTCATCGGCAAGTCGTATGTGCAGTACAAGGTTTCCCGTCGAATACCTATAAACATTCAATTATAAATACTTTATTACCGAGTATATCATAATAAATCGATGAAAAAGTTACTTAAATCACAACAGTCTTTGTATTAGAAAATTTTACGATTTAAAAATAGTTTTCATCACAAGTTGATGCCAACAACAGTAACTCATGCAAAAGTAGTTTTAATCAAGGAATTACGTTGCCTACGGCTAATATCTGTCTCACAGCTGACATATACATCACGTGATACCGGCTCGATGGTCCGGAGGTTAAGCGTTTGCTCACGAAACTGAGAGTTCCATTTCGATCACGTGCTGTAGGATCATGGTTACTCATTACTTATAAATCCCTCAGTACAAAACAGCTATCCAACGCCTCCTGTCTTCTATTGGTGGTCTAGGCAAGATTTGTTAGTCATTGAAACTATGAAAGGACCAATAGTTCCTTTGAAATGGTTACTAGATTACTAGGTACAATTGTTGAGTCGAATAATTTATGGAGATTAGTTTAAGATCCTAAGGAACTGTCAATTCTTTATTTGAAGGTGTTTTTTTAGGATTACTTGATTTTGTAGGTTATAGTCATCAGGTTGGATGACGGTCGTGCAGTCTTGCGAGTTGATTTTAATTGATATTGTATATCAAGTGTCAAATCAAAGGTCCTAGTGGTTAAGCGTGTGCCACGAGAACTATAGGTCACGTTTCCGTTCTCTATATGGGCGAGAATTTAAGAAGTACCATAATAGGATGAGATAGCTTACCAGGTATGTCTGGTTTTAAATGCTATCCAACCGAAGTTAGTCTATGGCAAATACAACCTAACGACTATTAAACTAATTACAACCCATGGTAAAACTATTTTTACACGAGATATTCTCTTATCTTCTTTACTTCCATAACTCTTTGCAGCAACTATCTTTATTCTATTTAGCATTTAATCATAACACTTGCTTATTCTTTCATGTTCACCATTTTAAAGGTGAACGTAGAGAAAAGACACCAGTTTCATTAAAATTATGAACCACCACTGAAAACCTGAGAGCAATGGATGGTCTTTTCGTTTTATTATAGGACTCCTTAGGAGTGTGCGTCAACAATCTTACACGCAGGACTCAAATCTAAGCCCATCAGTCTTGAGCGCGAATTCTTAACCTCTAGACCTATGGGCCGGCATCCGACTGTGTTAATGTCTAACTTCAGTTAATTAGCCGTTTAATGCGACCATCTTTAACGAGTAAATGTCTCACATCGGCCACAATTGAACTTCATTGGTCATGGATTCTCACTGAAACTCCTAGAATGACCTCTCGAATTTAGTTTCCAGAGATGAAATGATGGTGACCACTATGGAGATTGTTGAGTTTAATTATGTTCATGAATTGATCAATATTAGGCCATGATTGAATTCACTCAAATATAGAGGTAGTTGGCCATGAAATATGAATGTATTGATGATAAATTTACACAGTTGTCATTCTTATTTTGGTTTTTATTTTACATTTTTAGGTTACTTTTATTGTTTAAATATGACATTACTTAGTTTGTCAACATTTGCTTCGACAATTGTTGTACATTTACACTTTCAACGAGTAAAATCAAAACACGTACCACCATGGCTTATAAAGGTAAGTGATATTTTTTGAAAACTCATGTTTTCTATTCTTTATGTGTTGGCTTAATAATTATTGTTAAGAAACAATTTGTATGGTAAATTTACAAAATATATTACAAGATGACTGGAAACAGAATTATTTGTCTAGTGGAACATTAAAGGTTTATTTAGAACTGACAAAAATATGATATCTCCATGAACAGAAATGTATTTAAAGAATTCCTGATTACTGGATAGTATGAAATATTGTTTTATGCGACCTTTATTCCAAATAGAGTCTTATCGATCAAGCTAAAATGTAGCCACTAGGCTAATCGACTTGAAATTTCAGTGCAATTTATTGAGTGTTAAATGCTTGTAAGTAATAAGTATAAAATTATAGATAAAGTTTCCATTCTGATTAGTGAATATTGCTAAGATTTCTTCGGAATTATGTCGAAATCGATGTTATTTAATATATTCGAACCTGTTTCATACACTGCCATAGTGAGAGAAGTTCAGTAGGTCCCGATTGTCACTTGGTTCCTAAGTATTTATTCACATATTACCCAAAACTCTCAAGAGTGGTATAAAACGTTTATGTAACATCTTGAAGTGTAATTTACATTATCGGAATTCAAAAATACACTAGGGATGGTAAATTGTTTCGTCGTGATTATTTTTGGAGTCCAAAATAATTTGAACTGATTGCTTTCCTATATGTTCAAAGCTGAGTCACATAAAGGTAGATAGAAAACACTACTGTGTAGTACAGATGTTTGAATAGTTTTGTAAGTAATCATCAGATTGTTATCTATCAACCTCATTTTTTTGATTCACTTACTAATGTGCACCGAAACAGTGTATGAACTATCAGTAATTGCTAACGAACGACTACCGTACTAGTGTAGTGAATGAGAACACATGTGGGGACAAATCAATGTATTTGAATAAAAAATTACAGAATGTCTTAGTAAAATCTGAGAACCATATAGTAAATACTTCATTTGCACAGTGTTTATGATTGTCTCAAACTTGACTGTTCCTTCTGCAAAATGTAAATCAATCATCTCCGACTTCATTGTTTTTTCATTTCCATACTAATCATGCTATGTTCTCGTTCTCTTTCTTTCTATTTTCTTAACGTTCTTGCTATGTTTGAAGCATTACGATTGTGGAGCCAGACATTTCACTTTCTATTGATGATATATACTACTTATATCTGTCGACATCAGTACTACACATGACATTAGTAAAGTATAATGAAACTAATCTGTAATCAAATGAATAAAATTCTACACCGGGAATATTTTAATTTTAGGCTGAGAAACCGACCGTGAACGATAAAGAACTGTTGCCTATATTAAAGTTCCTTTGCATTTCGTCAGTAAATTCTTATTACAATCAACCTATACACTCATTAGACCGTAATAAACACAAGATTTCTTTAAGATTAATCAAGTTCAACAAAATATTGTCATATTCCTCTATATTTATACGGTTTGTTGTCTTTTATTTCTGTGTCTGTATCCTTCTTCCTAGGTGGTTAGATTTTTTGCTACATTGTTACATGTTTCGAAATTGGAACCACCTGTAGTGGCAGATACCAATCAAAAACTGAGTGTTGTTGAAGCACAAATTAAAAATGCCAAGATGAAACAAAGTATAAAATCGGAAAATCTACTTGATACGTGGTCATCGAATCAACAATTACCTCCATCTAATCCGCAGTCAAATTTGATCCATTCTGCTGGTGTAGAAACACAATGGGATTACAATAAGATTTCATCTACCGAAGAGTATCTTTTAAATCCTAACGAATTATCTGTTCTACAAAAGCAACAACTTTCAATGCTATCAGATGGTTCACGAATATCTTATTCCACTGGTGTGAATGGCTGCCAGTTTCCAAGTCATCACTATCCGAACCAAAACTATTTACAACAAAAAAGTATTCCATGGGGCGATTATGCTACGAATCAGCCAAATGAGTCTGGAACAGTTAAGATACATGATAAGTTGCTTAAAAAATTCCTACAATCTAAACAACAATCAAGAAGATCTACAATTCAACTTGGGTTCAATTTGGGTGACTTATGTAATGCATTAAAACAATTGATGCTGAAAATAGCTAAAAAAGATGAAATAGCTCAGCGTGATCGCGAATGGCGGTTAGTTCTAATGACGATTGATCGTTTGTTTTGTTGGTTCTACTCCATTGTAGTCATTGTTGCAGGAGTGTACTTATTGTTCCCTAGAGGGCGTTCGCATACAGTCAACGAAATTATAGCAATGCATCAAGAAGCCTACGATATACGAAATCAAGCTGTTGCAAAGCAGTGTATGATGGGATACTCCAAAACAATATAACACTTTGGGTGGAACCTCCCCACTTAACCTTCTCATTGAGACCATCTGATTTTTTTCACCTCGTTATTTTTAGTTCGTAATCGTTTACCTTAATATCAATCGTTCAGTATTTAATGGCCTAATTTTAAGGTTAAACAGTGTTCGCGTTACGGATTCCTTTTATCCTTCATGTTCTATCATATTGATCACCTGAAGTAGAAAATTTGTTTTAAATCTACTATACTCAATTATTTCTTCTTTTTAAACGAAGTTATGCATTTCTGATTTTAAATCTTCACTCAGTCATTAACTTAGTAAATATTTATTAATTCAGTTTTTTTATTTTGCAAAAGGCCTAAAAGTATTGAATTCCTTCAAAGACTAGTTTGGACTACAAAACATCCAATCACTGCAGAAATGAGTATTTTTATGGGTTGGATTTTAAAGGATTACTGACTACATTTATCTGAGTTATATCCTTATGCTATAAACCTGTACTTATTACAAAATAACTAAGTATGATCTGATGCTCCATATTGTAGAGCAATTACCGAGCACGTTAGGTGGTTGAAAATTTATTATTAAGCTGAATGCTGCAGTGTATATGCTAAAATAAAAGAATTACATCGAATAATTAATGGCCCTTCACAACGCACACATGTACTGTCAACTCTTTTAAATTACTAGTCATTATAAGGTGTTAGTACTTTTCTCAATAGTCGACAATATAACTTCCTAAGCTGTTTAGTTTTCTCCTTAAATTTAACTGAAGAGGTCGTGAGGTCGGTAAATATTTTATTATATCTGAATTTAGTAACTGTCGTAACGAAACTGCAGAACATGCAAGTTTAGAAAAGTAGTAGGGTGGTCCAAAAATCCAGTCGAGCTAAAAGATAGCTTTCTAAGTAGGTGAACAAGTTTTGTGTATGATACATTCAATAAATGATTTCATATTGAATATTTGCCACAAACAAAATGTAAGCAAAGAATATTGGTGATTAACGTAGTCAATCCCGTTGACTCAGCATCCAGAATATTGTCACGGCTGATCATCGCCTTTGTGCAGGGCTTAACTGCAAATAGTGACAGGTTTCCTTATATTAGTAAATATAAAAATCCCAGTCATGTTTGTCATCTTTGACTTGATAGCCAGAGAAGAAGTGATTATATAAGCACTCGACTGGGAACATTCCTAAATGTATGTTTGAAGAATTGAATTAACGGACATGAATAATAGTAATAAATAATCACACGATTGAGCACAAATTAAAATGAGTACTGAATTAATGCATTCGACAGTAACATGATCTGTCAGATTGAGTTCTCCAAATGTGTTTACAGGTGTGTGGGTTTAACATATTTGTATAAAACCCCATCGTAATCCGGTGGAACAATTATTTAGTTTCAATTGGTCATTTTGGTCACTACCAATGTTTCCATGACAATCTTCATTCGTTTCGTTATTTGGATTGAGTAGCTGTGGTATTTGTAAGAACTAATTATTCTTTTGTACTTGATTACCCGCTTATTACGATTTCCAAATACAATACTGTCATTTGTATTCATCTTGTTCTGTCTGGCTTAAATTGCACTGTTTCGGGAATTCTTAGTTAGTACACTGATTCAAATACTTCTAATCATCACAGCAACTTCTGCTGTTCTTGAAAATCCGTCAATAACCGAATAATCACAAGTAAGCGTTAGCTGTTAAGCTTTAGAAAAGCCTTATTTGTGTTCCTGAAAAATTCGACACAACCTTTTTTTCCTTGACCGAAAATAACTTCTAGTATCCAATATCTTGGTGACGAACTTGTATAAGCCAGTCTATTACTTTTCGTTTGCTTCTTGTTGTTTCAGTGTAGTTCTAAATGATTTTACTAACTGTTCACAGCCTGTATTTGTTTAAAGCAATTAGTCCCTTTTATAAATTTCGATGGAACAATGAGAAGACGGAGTTGATCTGAAAAATGTAATGTATTTGCACTATACATTTCGAACAATCTGGTCACACATATACTTGTCAAGGCATTTTTATATGAAAATCAATAAAGGTATTTGTTTACCGTTCTTCACACCCTATCGTTTATTTTCTTCACTATTTAAATATTTTTGCATTTCATATTGTGGAAATTTAATGATATTCGTTGATTAGTAATTTGTTGTCTATTTATCATAATTTGACCTACTCTCCACGTTGAAGTATTGATTAGAACCTTTATTTTCTCAATTTCCTTATCACTACTAGTACATCTGCATTCTTACTATCAATTTGTACTTTTTACCAATATGTTTAATTGCATAATCTACTTCTTCGGGATCAGTGACACATTAACTACCCTGTCTCATTTAATATTTTTACATAACGATACTAAAATTCCTGGATATCAGAGTTACGTTTTTTGAAAATCTAATTGAAAACGGTACTATTCACCCTTATGTTTTACTATATTTTATATTCAAAAGACTTTATCTGTGTGACGAAATATAACTATCACATAGAAAATCAACGTATTTTTTATCACACAAGAGGCAAAAATCTACAAATTTTGGATCAACAATATAGTTTGCAAAACTACAAAGTATTAAACAGGCGAATATTTAGGTAGGACAATGAAAAAAGGAAAGAAATTAGTTTTATACTTCAACAAGCCATTAGCTGTGATAGTTCAATGTTTCTATGTTTTATCTTACAGAAACCAGATACTCAAACACCCAGTTTCTGCATACATATTTTTTCCAAAGACTCGTTTTAGGAAATATCGGTGTGCAGATGTAAACCGATTTAAATATTTTGTTACCTTAATTGTACAAGACGAACGTTCTATTTTCATATCTCTGACTGACAAGTGTGTTGCATAATGTAATTCGCATATGCATATCTGTTTGCTCAAAATGTACAGAAACATATCACATCACCGGTTTCAAATAGATGTCACTTCCTGATAAGACGTGATGAAAAGACTAAATTACATTCTTAACTTATTGAGATTCTGGTTCAACATTACTCTTAATTTAATTCCATAGGATGAATACTTAGAGTAATATTCGTTTTACTTTTGGTGTACTATTTAATTCAGGATAACGTTGATTTACTTTAGTGTGATGTTTCCAGGATATGATATTCCTGTATTAAACTCACGTGAAATATGTTAAGAATGAAATGTAGCGTGTGATCTTGCTATAATCTCATGTGATGACATTTTACTAATTATTGATCATATAAGTGTACAAATCAAGATACAAATGAATGCATTTTCAATTAGAGCCCTCTTTGTGTTCTCATAATGGGTAAATATACACTTGTATCAGCCTTGCTGTTCTTACTTTGCGTTGTGGAAATTCTAGCGACTTCTTGTCACCAGAATGAGTAATACGCTACGTGGGTATAACACTTCCCAACTTTTGTAATTTATTACAAACTGGGTGCTGAAGTCTGTTGTCAGTAGATAATTTGAAAACTCGCATATATTTTAGCCAGACAACAAATCTAAAGTCAAACGTTGTGTGGTTTTATGTAATGAAAGTAAACTTTTTTCAACTCCCGATACAAAGATCATGTCAGGAACAACAACCGCGTTTGCTTGCGGTTGCTGGAGATAGATAAAGTTCTTAGACGACAAGACTTGTCCGCCCGTCAATAACAACATGAACAAAGAAATGTTTGACTGGGGTCACTGAATAATTTAAAACGTCCAAGCATGACTGCATAATGTTCAGCAAAGTACAATACAATGATCTGCTAAATAAGACATCTTTAATGTTTATTAAAATAAAGGCGTTTTTATTACTTCTCAATATATTGCTTCGCACTCTCCTTTAAAACAAAAATGACTATCCATAACGGAACTGTGTTTAGCTAACGAACGAAATTCGTTACATGCAAACTTCTGCAGTTGTCACCCGTGTCAGCGTAAGACAAACATTGGCAGACTGACATCTATCAGTCATACATCTCCACTAAGTTTTGGTTGTCAACTTGCACCATTCAACATGTGACAACCTTAAAATATCAATTTTTCATAGTGAAATGAATTTACGTGCTGGTTCCAAAATATGGAATAGAATTTCTGGAGTTATCTACAAACGATGATCACATGTCTTGTCTTTTATGAGTCATCCTCTAAGAAGTCATTGGCCCAACGAATCGATTACTTGAGATTTTCCTAGAAATTGTGGAGTCTTGTACCACTCTGTCAAACTGGTTCTCCATTACGAGTTGAATGTCACAAAACTCAGTCGTTGGACCATTGATATTCCCATCCCTTATTAATGACATTCCCCTGGACTTTTGATCTTTATTCGGATGACCCCAATATCTTGGTAGAAATTTCTGGCCCAGATATATTAGCACTTTAAGAAGACTTATATAAACCACCAGGTTGAACTCTCCGGAACCGCTTTCATCGCAACAGAATGTTTATGGCGAACAACAGTGGTACTACATGCATTACGTAATTCTCAGGAGATTAGAGAAACACACTTTCCACTACTGAAAAGGACCTAGGCATCACGCTCTGTAGTACTGATGGCTTCTCGCCTTATTTGCATTTCGTGGCCCTATCGGTAACCAAGCTAACATGAGCCATGAGTACTAAAAAGCGAATTACAGACGATACAAAATTTCATAATAAAACAAAAGTACCGATATTTCCGAAGTTCATCCCAAAGCCTTCTAGTTTTTTTACCAAAGTAAACCTGTTGGTTGTAAACACTGTAAGTGGAAATAAATTAGGACCCCAAAGTTACAAAATTTACTAAAGAATAAGACTTCGAATGCATCTTAGCAGTCTTAGCTCCTGTTAACGTAAGTGCGGTGCACTTCGTAGGTTGGAAACAAACTCACAACCCTGAATGTGCGAAAGTACTTTATGTTTATAAATAGTATTCCACTGTGGTGAGCTCCAAAAATTTTCAGATGTACTTCTGGTTCAGGCAGTACATCACAAGCTCTCAATAATGGTACAGGTTTCAGTCACTGTGGGTTTGTCAGGACTACAAAGATTGAAAACGTGAGAGACGAGGGATGGAGTTCTTTCACCTGAATGCAATTTGGTCATTTGAAGTACACTATGCTCAACGAAACCGAGTGTCGCTGATGTTAACGAACCTGTCATGTTAACACTGTTGATTCTTATTGTGACATTGAAAAGTCATGACATTCATTCATCCATTTTCGTTGGTTATATTCCATTAAGCTCTCTTTGTTATCGTTGATCATTTCGTGTGACTTGTTATATTATGAAGGGATATTTGGTAGAGCGAGAGCAGTTTAATAAATACGATTGACTGTAGAACATTTTTGTACATTAATGAAAATTTTAAGTGAATATTGTGATTTACGGCTGTTGTAATAAATTATGCACAGTGCAATTCTGTTATTTTAGTATTGCTAGACGGTAAAAGCTTCATAGAACCCATCTTTTGTTATTTGTTTATCAGTCATGTCTGGGCCATCTGTTTCAACTGGTAAATAGGTATCTTTATATAGTTTGTTCCGAAAACAAACTAGTAAGAAAGTGATGATCTCTGGAAGGTAATGTACATATGATTTCAGGGAGATGTAGAAAACCCATGATCTTCACACTGGTAGTCTGGAGTGAGAGGAACGTCTTAAATCGAGTCGTAGTCAGGGGAAAATGCTTGACCTAGCTTCGCTAGCTAGAAATCCCTATTACGGCAGAGATGGTCGAAAGACAACTAATTTTAAGTAATTATCACTATATCACTACACTCCTGTACATTTGTACATCGTGAAAATCATCTGACACTTGTTTTTGCTTTGTTCTGTACATATTTCTGTGAGATATATAACAGATGTTAACTACCTACTTGAAAATGAGTTCCTCAAGGTGATCTATAACTCAGTTTGGTGTCTTTAGTTTAAACACATTTTACCGACTACACAACGAAGCACCAACCGCATGAGGCTTTTTTCTTTCATTTAACTCTGAATAAAATATATGCCAAGCGTATGCAAGTCGTATGGCTATAAATTTTGCGGAGGATTTGGCTTATTGTCATAAAATCTAATTACATCAGGGATCACGAAATTTAACAGGTATGGCAAAGTGACTATTGTTTCTTATTGTTCAAGCAATAATAGCATTAAGTGAAGAAGATAGAACTGCTGTCTAGGATGGTCTCACACTTGTATTCAGTTATATCCGAAAAAATGAACTTGAAAGATGGTGAACAATAGATCGCTTTCATATATGATCACACTTATTTATGTGCTTGCCAAAAAGATTTTTCATAATCTTATGTGTACATAGTGATTTCACGTTTTGTGCTGCACAGACTGCATGGGTCACTCTCAAATAACAGTCTTTGTAGTCTGGTGAACATTTTGTTTTAGTTTTCTAAACACATCAGTCACCGTTACATCTGCCTCTGAAGGACTTTTAAAATGAGAGAAAATGTACTTTGCGAACATCTATAATAATCTTAACTAAGATAGAAATGGATGATATTAAATCAGGTTTGTATTTGTGATTTTGCATCTACAATTTTAGCCCTGGAAGTAGAACTAGAAAGGCTGAGAAAACTAGTGAGGAAATACCGAACAGAAAGCATTGTTTTCGCAAAACCCAGAAAAAGCAAAAGTTTAGAATATAGCGCAGAGCTTAGATCTAATGAAAATAGTGACGCGTATGAGAGCCACAATGCAGTTAGCTCGTTTAACTGTGAACAATTATCTTCACCAAATGTTCCGAAATCGCGTTGTGTACAGTTTGCTGCAGTGAACAACTGCTGTGAGAGTAAAGATATATTCCTTTGCCAAAACAAATAATTCACAGGCGCTAATCGTCTTTCAGATTCAGATGAAGTTATACGCAAACCTAACAGACCTTCACAGCACCGCACACGTTTTCTTGACCCTCCAACAAATATTGATATGCCATCTAGATATCACCCAGTACCGAAATACCCCCCTGAAGAGTACGTTTCTGTTTTTCCATAACTACAATTTAGAGAATCCAATAGAAATTTTACTTATACTGCTATGGATTTGATAGAAAGGAGGAGATTTCAGGAATCATTTTTACATTTACAGTAAGAGTTTTCTAATCACTTTATTTCTACTTAAAGTGAATTTTACCGGAAAAACTATCCACTTGATAGTGAATTGGTAATTGAGTTAAGGTAAGTCACTGTATTAGGTATGTCGTTATTACTAGTGGGTAATCACTGTTATAATCTTACTCATATTATTAGTCGAGAAGTTGGAATTATATATTACATTAAATTGAGGGTGGTTCCATTATCTTCTCAACTGGTGTCTCATATACAAAGTATTCTGAACTAAAGTTTACGTTGCTCCGCTTTGCATACTTTACGTGGTGGACTAAGTGGCTCATAATATTTCACAATACATCAGTGAATTTATGTTACACGAAATCTGTTCCTCACAAAAGAAGTGTATTAAAATCAGTTTGGTGTGCTTTGCATACAAAATGTTATTTGATCTCAAACTGTTCACAACATTCTTTTCCCGGACAGTGGTATGGTTAGCTTGCATGTAGAGAATAATCATTTTTCTAAACTCGAGATAGTATCGCCTTTACAAACTCACTTGCCTTGAAGTAATACAAATAAAAGTGACCGTCACACAACCAAATTAAGTACTTCACTTCAAAGGATATCCTTCATACCATGAAGTTGGTAGACGAAACAATAACTATTCTACGGTATGCAGAGTTATGATCATATTAGGCTGTAGTAAAGAGGCTACGACAGAAGAATTATCCCAGGACTAAAAGCTACTTTTCATAAGTGAATGATCAATTGGTCACTGAAACCAGTGTTTTTTTTCTTAACTTGCTTAATGTCTGACTAGTATACCCTCTTACTTATGACATATTATAAATGTGCAGTTTATACACAGATGATAACAAGCCTTACGATGATTATTCTGCATTAATTTATCTTACTCCAATATTTCTCAAGTATCGTAAAATTATAGCCTAGGCCAATTTCATTTATAATAAATGAAAAACAAGATTGTCAGTGAAACATTGAACCGAAACCCAACAAATGGATGACATTGCTGTGATGTCTAACACCATAGTACTTCTCGTGTCATGAATCGCTGATACTACCTTTACATTGTATCTAAGCTATCTTATGAGTTATTGCTTTCCGTTTCTTGTGAATGATCAAAATATGAGATTTCTTTGCGATCATTTAGCTCTTCGTGTTCTAATTTCGCGGAGTCTTGCCATATTTATTATTTTCACCTTGCTTGTTTGATTCAGTCATTGACCACCCTTTTTTGTACTTTCAAGATAATTTCGAATAACTTGAGTTTGGTTAACGTCCCACTAGGAGGCCACATGAGTGGAAATTGTTAACTTTTGGATCTATTCATTTTTAAGACAGCACATTATGTCATTTGAGACGTCTTTCGTCGTACCAGAAAGTGCCGACAAACTTCTGGGAGTTTCTTTGTATTTACATGAGCATATATCTGTCTCAAACATAAACATATTCCTCCATTTATTCTGTATGTTGCTAAACATATTTAACAATGGCCAGTCTTCAAGATAAATATCCTTGGATCTAGAAGTTAGAACAGACATCTTGTTAGCGATTTCTACTGTCCATAAACTAAAGTATGTTGTTGCCGCTAAAAATCCTCTGTCTTTTCCTAAACAACTAACAAAGAGCACTAGCATTTTACATGAGTTGTGAAAATTATGAAAATATGCCTTACTTTCCTCTTAAATACTATAATAGATCGTAAACGAGTGGAACCACAATCTTTGTTAGTAATATAAAATAACTGTGACCTATTGCTGTCTTATAAGGTGATTCAGTAGAAAAGTTTCACGATTTCTCCTCAAAAAAATTTCTGGAAACAGAACGAGTGAGATCTTACGGAAATTCAAATAATTATATTTTATGCAACATAACTCCAAATTTGTTTCGGCTAAGTTGAACTACCGAAAAACTAGCCATAAGATTCAGTGGTTTTGTATGCCTAAACATTTCATTTTTTGCCACAATCACACAACTTTTGTTAATCTAAAGAATTGTAACCCCCCTGATTATATGTTTAAACTTGCTTATGAAATGGAAAGTTAATGTGGCGCGCATCAAAGAAAAATATTTACTGTGAGATATTGCAGGAAATAAATATCTAAGTTTTGCAGAAAATGAATCAACATTTCAGCTTCAAACTAACTTACATCTGTCACTCAAACATCACTTTATTTGCATCTGTCTATACTACCTGTCAACAAATCCAGCCATCTTAGAATGACTATTTATCTTCTGATAATTACGGAGAAGTATTCAGAGACATGAATAATTTCAAACAATAATATAATACACCACATCATCTTGCTTATAGTCGTTCTGCAGACTTACAGATATTTCTATGAAAATGAATCTACTTACAGTAGATAACTAGTGGACATTTACTGGAAGAATTGCTCTTTTTATCTAGTAATTTGCTTTACGTTCTGAAATTCTATTAGGATAATCAAGGCCTAATGAAAATGAATTTCTGGGAAGTTTATAATAATCCTGAAAATAAGTTCAAGGCTCTGGTTTAGTTATATATTGGTTTTAATAGTTTACAGTGTTCCAGGTAACTATTGAAGTTTTAAATCTACATTTTCTATCCCCAACTTAATTTTCTTGCTGAGAAAAGCACTCAATAACTTTGGATTGTTGTGAATACATAGATGATAAATAAACATCTAACTGTGAAATTAGAATTGTGAGAGAAGTCAAAGAAACAAGCTATTAACATTTAGTCTATAGGTTATCATTTCAGGTTAATATTCTGGTTTTCAAATTAGTAATTGAATATGTTCAAATACCTTATGATCCTTGTCATCGTAATAAAATGTGAAATGTTGCATCTTTTCTAAGCTGAAACAAAACAGTACACAAAATAATTTATTTATATCCACACAGAACTCTACGTGGAGTCTATGAGCATACAGGAGGTCGTAACCTAGCTCTTATGGCTGCTCTTGAAAATACACTTGAAGAGGCCTTGAAAGTGGAAAAAGATAGGAGATTAACGATACTGGACGGCATCAACAAACCCAATAAACCTGATTATTTTTCACCTCAATATGAGAGAGGTAAGTTCGTCAAATGATTGTAATAACTCGTATCTTCAAAATGTTCCTTATTAAAACTTCGAACTACTTTTGAGATTTAAAATTGAGCTTACGTGTCACAAAATTGGTTAATGCTTACTTAGTTTTATTTTTGGAATTGCTAGACTAGTGTTGTGTTCAATCAAAGATAAGTTATTTACTGTTATTTGTTCAAACAAACAAGCTTAATCGATTTGAACAAGATAAACTAAATAATCAATCAATAAAGGTAAGTCGCTGATGATAGGATCACCTCTTTTATTTTTTGAATCACTAATGGTAACTTTTATTTCATACAACTCTATGCTCTCCAGTGATCTCAGTTTAAATGAATTCTCAGAACAAAAGATTGAATGCGAACAACAATTTAGGCGAAGCTTTTCTGGAGAAAAGATCGTTTGGTTAATTTATGTGAAAGATTATCAAGATTAAGGTGTTTTTGAAACTACTGGTGTGATTGTCATATTTTTACGATGGTTCCTTAGAAGGATTTTAAATATTCATGGTACTAGTTTATAATTTTATTGTTTTCAATAAAACTGGGTAGAGCATAAAATGAAATGTCTAAGAAGATCACTAGCCTTTAAACTGGTCGAGTTTGGGTTATTTACTTCAAGGAAATAATAGAATTTGATACAAATGTACCGTTGAAGAAAATCTGATTCAAGTTTCAAGTTTACTCATTTGAGTATCTCCCGTTATAAATATAATATTACATGCTGTCATTTTCCTACAATGACAGTAATTAAATAAAAGTGTACACATTTTGATCATAGAAATAAACTAGTAGGAACATGTGTACTCATATTTTGTGCTTAGTATGACTCATCAAAAGGGCGTTTCTGTCAGCTTTTATTGATTTGGACCATAACACACTAAAGTTTGAGCCATTTGACAGAATAATCAAGAGTATTAGAACTGTTCGGATGAATATGAATTCTTCAGCAAACATAATGAGTAAATTATCAAAGAGACGGTTGTTTACTATAGGAAGGTGATTGACTATAAAGTGATCGTTTTAAAACTTCATCGTTTGACAATATGTGCTGAGTTAAAGCTGTTAAAAATCAAAGTCTCTTATCTCTTATAGCTTAATTCATGAAATACAAACAACAAATGTTCTATGATATAATGAAAAACAGAAAAAATTCTATAATCTGTTCAGATTAACATCAAATTTTAACATTTTTATAGGCTTAGATGTTTCTGTTATAAATTGCGGCCTGTGTGCCCTGTTAATGTATAACGTAGCGATACTGCCGACTAGAGAGCAGTGAATTATCGATCGGACCAATGACGCGTAAAACATTTACGAGCAGTCTAGAGTCCTGATTAGCCCTGCTTTCCCCCTAGCCCAGCCAGTTAAGTCCAGAACACCAATCTCAGCCTCTGCAATACAAATCATTTATTTCAAACATACTCGGTTTATATACCGATCAAACAGACTACATCGTACCAATACAATAGGAAACAACATTTATACAATATTTGGCCAAATATGGCTGTAAATGTGGGAGGTAGTAAATAATAGACAGGGTATAATTCAAGAATGGTAAATCGTAGAATAATAGTTCATAGGTTAAAATAAAGCTCATAATAAGAGGGACATAAATATGAATAGTTTAGTTACTTAATAATTATATAACAGAAATGTACGTATAGTAATTATCCATAAATGGATCCCAAAAGTTACCATTCATTATGCTTATCGGGACATAACAGTTTCATTAAAGCCTGTTCATATAATAATACAAAGGAAACAAGTGATAACTTAAGGTATTAAGTTCAAAATGAAATATATATTATATTCAATATTCCATACTTTATAATCAAATAAAGTCAGTCAAATATGACTATTTTTTAACATTTTCCCATCATCTTAATCTGTATTATTTCTTAAGTAGATTTTCACCTTTCGAATAAATTAAACTATATTTAAACAGAAGAATTATTAACAATTATATAGTTAATTATGGTATTAACAATGGTTTATTATAAAATGACATAGAAATGACGAATGTATACATTGAATATACAATACATTTTTGTGTTTTTCCTTTTTTTTTAAAAAAATAATAACCTTCATTTCTCCTCATTTGTTCTTTACTTTGGTAAAATTATAATACTGTAATAATTTGAGTGAATAATAACTACTACGAATCAAGTGTAGATGGTTACTGCTGCTAGGCAACTCTGTAACAATAATTAGTCGTATTGAAATAATAAAACATTAAAAATGCACTTTATTATTTTCAGTAATATTAATGGTCAAATTAGCAGAGTAATAATAATAATAATAATAATTTTAGCAGTAATAGTAGTGTATGCAAGATTAATAGGAGATTGTTTTTTTTTCTTTTAATTCCTATACTTCATTTCAACATTGTATAACTTTAATTCTAGTTAATTGTTTTATTACCTAACATCATTTTTTTTATTTTTTTTACAAAAAAAAAAGAAAAAACATACAAAAATTAGAATTATAAGAATTAAATTTTGATCATTTCCATTTTTATTCTGTCCGTTACAGTTAAACAAATAAAATTAATGAATAATTTTAAATGAATTGAAGCGTTCATTCATTATCGATTGATTAAACAATCATTTATTGCCATAACAATAAAATATTTATTAAATCATGAAATAGTAATGTATTTCTTTTTTTAATTTATTTAGAAAATATAAGCTCTTTCATGCCTAAAATGAGACTGAAATTAAATAATAAATTATCTGAAGCAGCAAATATATTTCATTAAGTAGGTGCTAAGTTTTAAAATTCCTTCTTTACAATACTTTTTTAATGGTTGGATTTATGAGATGACTTAAACTAGACCACCCTGGAAAATCTGGAAACAATAGATGAATATTTCATTCTAGTAGGAAATTCCTCAGCAATACACATCCACAACCCTGCACCTGGGATTCGAACCCAGGACTTTCGGTTTCTCGCATGGACTCTTAACCTCTAGACCACTTAGCCAGCATCCAATGGTGTTAATGTCTAACTACAACCAATCCTGGGTTTGAATCCTGCATGCGGGATCGTGAATGCGCACTGCTGAGGAGTTTCATAATAAAATGAAACAACCTCCCAATGCTACCAATTCAGTAGTATATTCATTTTTGTTTTAATTCGTTTTTTTATAATTCATAATATATAACTATTCTATGTAATCTTTCTAATAAGATATATTTTATTTAAATTTTATAGATTATCGTTGGCAAGCAGCAATACGAGCTTATGAAATTGAACAAGCCAATAGAGAATTTCGATTAATACAATCAGAGTTAGAACGACTTAAAGCTTTACAAGCAGAAAGACGAAATCAACAAGAATAATATCAAGTTTTTTCTTTAAAAAAAGCAAAATTAAATGATAACCTTTCGTCAAAACTTTTCTCATTGATTTTGTACCACTAATCAGTAAAATTTACTGATAATTTAATGTATAGATTGAAAAGAAGACTTATTATATCACCATATTAAAGCGCCAGCTTATACAATAAACTAGTAAACATACATCAAATATAATAATGATAAAGTCTGTATGAAATTCTTTTGTTCATTGAATAATATTTACACATTAAACAGAGTATTGAAAATTGATCATTTTAGTTATTACAATTAATGTTTTGTTTAAATCCCTCATATTTAGATGTTTCATTAATCAAGATAAATTTCTATTTCGAAAATATTTAGTGTTTATATATATATATATATATATATATATATATATATATATATATATATATATATATATATATATATGATCTTTCAGTGATTCGATTTAGAACTCTCTCTTGTATTCCTATTGGTTAAAAATATAAATAATATGACAGATTAGAATTTATTTTATGATTATTCAATGTATTATATAATAATGTATAATCATAGTTTGATTTCAACTATCAATTGTTTAGTATGGAATTTAAAAAAATGTTTATTTATATTACTATTTTGAATAGAACAATTTACTTTTATATAATGAAGTATTTAAAGATGTTAAAAAAGAAATATTGATATACGATATATATCTATGAATTGGTGGTCCATATGTGTTTCAATCTTTAATGTGTATAGTATCAGGCATTCTTCTCATTATTGAGTCAATGTGTACTAGATTTAAGAGCTATAATTTCTACTAAGGACTTCATTTCATGCCATAAATTTTACTTTATCTGCTTTTTTTTCATCCTGTATGCTGGGGTGAACTACAGTGGTGTATTCATAGGAGATATGTAGATAGATTTGGACGAATGAAATGAAATCCTCAGTCAGTCAGGCAGCTAAAACGTAGGACCAGGCACATATATACATCGGTCCAAGTTGCTATACCGCATTAGCACAACAAGATGAACACCGCATTAATAGAAGTAGTTAATTCAATGGTGGTAATATATAAAAGAAAGATTGAATATAAGGATGTAGTACAGGAAGAAAGAGTTAGTACGTAGAAATATATGAAGTGGTTTTAATCTCACAGTTTAGGAGGAGACAAAGAGTGTATACACCGACTCCATTGTGATCGATTCTAAGCCATGTCCCCTAGAGTCTCCAACGATTGGTTACAATAGTTTTGCAGACCCCAACCAAGTCGTCTGCATTTAATAACGTGGCTAAGACCAGAAGTTAGTAACTTCAAGCACTGATTCCTTGTTTTGGTTTGGCAGCCCCTAACTTTCTTAAAACTATCCCCAACATTAGTCAGCATTGCGTATAGTGGCACTAGGTGTTCAGACATATGTGACACGTGGCCTAACCATCTCAGTCGATGAAGATTCACAACCTCAGCGCAAATCATGGTCTTATATGTAGTACTCATCAACTAAATGAACGAAAAAATGTTCAAAAATGCTAGATATTACACTTTTATTAAACACTGCGAAAAGTTGACCAAATTTATACGAAGTATTCATTTACTGATTTATATCACTAGTGAACATTTTGGATATAAATGATCATACTGAAAGTTGAATGCTATTGTACATGTACTTTTCGTATATATTTCATATTTTAATAAAGAGTTTTTACTAACCCTGTGTCATGAATATTTTCTAGAAACTAAAATTTCATATCCTTATGATTAGAATGAAATACAATAGAAATGAATTAAAAATAGAATGGGATTAGAAATAAGACCTTATTTGATGCAGAGTTAAGTTAGATTACGGACAGATGCTTCTTTGATTTGTCAAAATGTGGATATTATGGTGCAACAGTTTACTTGGAATCAATTAATAGTTTTTGAGACGTTATGTATGGGGGGTAGAACATGAATAGAGATGGCTGATATTTGATAATAGAACACTTTCGAAGTATTGCTTGTATATGATGGAATCATCTGGTATGTATTGGTGAAATGAAAAGAAGAATATTAGGTATATATGAAATATTGGTTAGCAAGGTTGAAAAACTCATTTCACAAGTTTCATAGAATAGGTGGATCACGAGTAGTATTAGGATCCAAGAGATAAAGTTACATCCAGCTAACGTGTCCCACATAGAAAATATATGTCCTGGATTCCACTAGTAGCTTAATCATCTACTCTACAAGTAGAAACATCTTTCAACTACCTAATAGTTTACATATACTCACTGAATAATTTTTTTGTTTACAATTCAAGATGAATTAACCAATTAAAAAGTATCTGTGAATATTCCTATATATTTCATATGACATCCACTTCAAAATATTCATTAGTGAGAGTTAAATTGAAATGATAGTTAAGCAACTTTACTTTATGAAGCACCAACGCATTCATATGATTGACATTACTCTCAATTTTAGTGTTTTTTTTAATCATTTCCGAAATATTAAACTTCAATTTGATTCTACATTTTTAATTCACAAAAATTTATTCTCACTTTTAAAACTATAGTCGTTATGTTAGGCAACCATTTTTTTCCTAACCATTGAAGATATTGTTGCTTTGATCGATGCACAGTGCATTTCATTAACATCATCTTTTTACGCTGATGTAGTGTAGAAACTTGAGATGATGTAGATGTGTCATCTTATACGTTGATTATGACCTACTGATCTATTTGTAATTCAGATCCCTATTTGTAAAATACTTAAGGTTGTAAAAAGTAGTAGACTCACTAAGTCGACTTAATTATTCAACTTCTGAAACTTCGATATTCAGTTTCAAATTTTTTGGTTAACAACTAAAAATTGTTTGATATTTACGAAAACAAAAAATATTATTATGAGATTTTTATACTGGCAAGCTGGAACATACAAATTTATTCAATAAGGTAAAACTACTGTGATACCTTCTAAATGAGATAATTATCAAATCACAATAACAAATATCAATATATAACTAGTTTTATAATAAGGTAACTTGTTCATAAACATTTAAGAGTTGCACAGATTCAAATCATGAGTCAGTTGAAGCTAGACCACCATGGAAAACCTGAAAGCACTGGACGGCCGTCTCGTCCTAGTATGGGACTCCTCAGTTCATTGTAATTTTCCCATTATCTAATGAAATTTTTCATATAAATGTATAAAACTACACATGTACTTACATAATTATACGTAATCATAAATATTATATCAAGTAAATCTCAATACCTTTCATTGTAAACTAATGTCTCGTAATAATCAACATCGAGAATTCTATCTTATCTAAGCTAACTTATCTTTACCACACAATATACATATTCTATTCGTTAGTTTGAAATTACAAGAAAACAGCGTTTAATCTGTCTGAGATTCATTTGAAATTATAACTAAAGTTTTTTAACATCAACCAGAGAGAAATCCGAACTAGTGTTTAGAAGATTCGAACAAATACTACCTTGTAACACATAAAAAATTAAGCGAAGTTCTAAGGTTTCATCTGTATACCACTTTTCGAAATGCATAAAGTCAAGGTTTTTGTGTATATAAGGGGTTTTATAGACTAGCAACAGTTCAAGGTGAATATTTCAGTTAACAAAAAACTTGAAGTTTGTAATTACAATAACTATTATAATTAAATTTGAATAGTGGCGAGCAATGGAATCCAAAATGTATATTTTCTCTTATTTAGGACTCATTAATTACTAAAAATACTATCATTATTTACTATTCTATTCTTTTAATTACAACATAAAAATATGTTTCATTAAGCAAGCTGACAAACGTATTACATAAAAGAACAGAATACTTTTCTTCTACAACCCATCCCTATATAACACTTCAAATTGAAACTAATGAGTCAATCACTTTGTTATCATTATTAGTATTATTAACTCGACAATTCACATCTATTTATAAAACATTCATGAAATTCATTTACAAAATAGTTCTAGATGAAAGGTTTGAAATCAATCATAAAAGAAATCATTCAATACTTTCTAGTTTGTAGTAATTCTACAGTTGGATCCATTCACTGATACAAAGTATCTGTAGTGATTTTGAGGTCTTGTTATAATTTATGTTTTATCAAGAATATACAAAAAAAAAGTAAACTTCCTAAAAATAACTACAAGTCACACCCTCAATGGGATATATGGTATACTTTTATGCATTTTAATATTTTTTTGACATATTGAAATATTTATTTTCATTATTATTATTATTATTATCACTTTATTAAAAGTACATTTAAAGTGAGAATAAATCTGAAAATTAAAAATCAATAAATTTTGTCGTTAAGATTAATTTGTAATTTACTTGTAACAAATATAACTTCATTATACTTAATCTGTAAATCATTTCATTTTTCAAAAAGATTTATATTATAACCTTGATTTATATTCTCATGATAACAAGATACTTTACTTACTTACTTACTTATTTACGCCTGTTACTCCTAACGGAGTATAGGCCACCGACCAGCATTCTCCAACCCACTCTGTTCTGGGCCTTCTTTTCTAGTTCTATCCAATTCTTGTTCATTTTTCTCATGTCTGTCTCCATTTCCCGGAGTAATGTGTTCTTTGGTCTTCCTCTTCTCATTACGGCTTCAGGATTCCATGTGAGGGCTTACCTTGTAATGCAGTTTGGTGCTTTCTTCAATGTGTGTCCTATCCACTTCCAGTGCTTCTTCCTGATTTCTTCCTCCGCTCTGATCTGGTTTGTTCTCTCTCACAGTAGGTTGTTGCTAATAGTGTACGGCCAACGGATCCGAAGTATTTTACGTAGACATCTGTTAATAAACACCTGTATCTTGTGGATGATGGCTTTCGTAGTTCTCTAGGTTTCCATTCCATACAGTAGAACTGTCTTGACACTTGTATTGAAAATCCTGCCCTTGGTGTTGGTTGAGTTGTTTTGAGTTCCAGATGTTCTTCAGTTGTAAATATACTGCTCTCGCTTTACCGATCCGCACCTTCACATCTGCATC